ACCCTATGCCAAAATTTTAAAAATAAGGTTAAAAAAGTTTATATATATATAAAATTCGGTGGCATGCATGAGACCCTAACCAATCCCCAGTCAATCACAAAATTTAATACATAAATAAGAGAAAAAAGACATTGTTTTAGTTTTAGAATGTCCAGCCTTGGGCTGGAGAGATGGCTCAGTGTGTAAAGGCGCTTGCTGCCAAGTCCGGCAATCTGAGTTTGATTCCTGGAGCTGACATAAAGGTAGAGAGAGAGAACCTGCTCCACAAAGTTGTTCTCTGACCTCCACACAGTTGCCAAGTTTGTTGTGAAAAGAGTCAATTATTTGGGCTTGTATATTGCCTGGGATGGATAAGCCCTCAAGTCCAGCTTTTACATGATGGGATCTATGTCGTGGACTTTGATGGGATAGGCCCAGCTTTAAGTTTACCAAGTAAATGGCGAGTCAGAGTACCTGTTTACCTAGATAAACAGCTCTCTGACCTCAGCCCCCTTTCCGACTTTTCTTTTTTTGAAATAGGATCTTATGTAACCCAGGCTGGCCTTGAACTTCATATGTAGCCAAGGGTGGCCTGGAATTTTTTTTTAATCCTTCTTCCTCTATCTCCTGAGTGCTGGAATTACAGATGTGTACCACCACTCCACACATACACACTAATAAAAGTACATTTTAAAAGCATTTCTAATCTTATCTAACGTTAGTACTTAAATCACTCATTTTGTTTAAAGAGTTCACCTTCCCTCTGCCTTCATTTTCACCCAGGCTGTCCCCTCTTTCTCCTTCATTCTCTTCAGGATCAGTGTATGTGCTTGAATGGAAGTGCCTCCCCACAAAGATAGCTAGCTGTGTCTACTTTCTAACCCTGCAATCCATTCATGTGACCTTCTTTGGGAAAATGGCCTTAGACTTAAGCTACCATAGATTGATGGCAACTGAATAAGCAAAGGGATGATGAAGGATCCATAGGTCTGGCTTCAATCACAATCAAAAGATGAAAATTCAAGAGCACATTTTTAAAAAAGATTTTGTTGCTAGACATTATTCAAAGCCCCCGAAATTGTCCAGAACATAAATCAAAATTCCATTTCATCAGAAAGATGAAGGAAAAGAGACAATGGGAACACTATTTCACTTAAATACCTTCTCTTGTCGGTCCCAGTCACTGTCCCATTGGCTTAGAAATCCAAGCTGAGGCCCCGCATCTGGAATTTGATTCAGTCAGCGTGGCTGGCTTCCAGGACTCCAGAGATCCCGATCCCGGACGGACGTGTGCTCTGCTTCACAAAATGGCTCACTTTACTTTGGTCCTTGGGTTCTCCTTTTATAGGGAGGTTGTTTTGTAACAGTTCATTCAAACAGCAGAGTCATGAGTGTTGACCCCACAGGGCATGGGCCTGTGCTTTCTTATCTGTCTCCCTATCGTCCTTTTTTTTTTTTAAGCCTTGGAGCTCCATGGGACTTTCTCCCAGACTGATAAGTGTATGCTTCACCCACAGCCCTCTCTGCATGCCTGGAGCCAGGCAGTCCCTTCATCAGAAAACAACATTATAAACACTGGCTGGGTTCTCTGCAGTCTTTTGTGGAGACACATTTGGCCAGAAATGTACTGTTCGGATTTGTGGTGTATGAGAGAGAAGCGCTTCTCCCCTCACCCTCACTTCCCCCCACAGTAAACTAATGTATAGTAACTGCACTGTTTGGCTTCTGTGATAGTATTTATGGTAGTCGCTTTTCTTTTGAAAGCGGACTCAAAGGCCACCTGGTTTCTGGTTACTGAAAAGAATGGACGGCGTCATCTCCTTTGTTTTGAGGCAATCCCTTAGCCTGATATTGTGGCTGGAATGGATAAGCTCTCAATTCCAGCTTCTGCATGATGGGATCTAGGTGGTGGACTTTGATGGGACAGAGCTAGTTTGCTCACTTTGTAAATGGCTAATCAGGTGCTTGTTTACCCTAGACAGGAGTAGCTCCCTGACTTCAGCCCCTTCTGTGACTTTTTTTTTCCTTTTTGAAACAGGATCTCATATAGCCCAGGATAACCTTGAATTTTTTATTCTCTTTTTTTCTACCACCCAAGTGCTGTGATTACAGGCATGCACCGCCATGTCTAGTTGATTTGGTACACAGGCTTGAACAAAAGCTTCTTGCATGCTAGGTAAGGAGTCTGTGACTGAGCGCCAGCCATCCCCATCCCCTTTTGAGGATTTTGACTTGTGAGCAGAGTACTGTGGAAGCTACATTTCTGTGAGGCAAAGATGCCATCATTAGCAGGCCATTCCTACAATGGCTCCTTGTCCTGCTTCTAGCACTGCAATTCGCTGCCAGGGCTCCTGTCGAGCCACATAGTACTGTCCTTGCTGTAAGTTCCTTGGGGTCTGATTCTGCTGCTTGCTACCAGCCCACGCTGACACGGCCTTTTTGGTGTGGCTCTGGGATTCCAGGACAGGAAGATATTGACGTTACCACAGTGCTGAAATTTCCCTTTGGATGAAGGCGTTGGCTGCTACTTGTATAAAATATTACTCAAGAAAGCTACACTTAAAGCGCCGTGTGTTCCCTGTGCTTGTGCGTTAGTAAGCCTTAGTAAGCGTTAGTAAGGGTAAATTGAGAGAGAATGAGAGGTCTGTAAGACTGGGTGCTTTAAGGTCTCAAGCACGACTGGGTTAGAAGGGTTTTGGTACCCAGAGAGAAGCAAAGGTTCACAAACGGCCAGGGAAGAGGAGGCATGTGGAGAGAGAAAGCAGCAGATGCCTGTCTGATGCTATCTGCCTGGTGGTAGTCACGCACTAGGACAGAGGCTGCCACAAGGGGGTGCGGTGGGATTTCTGAGAGATTTCAAACATTGCAGGATGCAAAGTGTCTTTTGCTCAGCGGGAGAGCTGTGTCACTATAACTGAGACTCATCTTTGGAGAGAAAAGACTCTTCTTTCTTTTCCCTCTTCCTCCTCCCTCTCCTCTTCCTCCTTTTCCTTATATGATGCTCCCACATTGGCTAAAGGTAGACACACGAGAGAGTTTTTTTTTCTTTGATTTTTCACTTGTAACTGCTATCTTAAGCCAGCTTCAGGGTAATCCTTTTTCATTCTAGGCCAAATTCTCATCACCATACTATACTCTGTCCCCCATGTCAAAAGTTGTGAAGGCTAGAATTTTATGAAACTTCATTATGATGTTGAGAACATAATTCCAAAATGGTTGTAAACAGCCACTCCAGTGTATGACTCTCAGCTTCCACTGCAAAGGGATAGCTTATTTATAAATCTCAAAAACAAATCGGCCAGGGTCTGAAAAATGCCAAAGTCCATGATAACATTCTACTAGTCCATGACCAGATAGAATACAGCTGCATCTACACAGCACAGGATATTTTGGATGGAGAGAGAGCACAGCTTTTTGGAATTTGTGATCATGGTCTGTCTGAATGAAAGAGAAATGTGGTTGAATACACACTTATGTTGGCACTTTTTATTTGTTCTTTTTTGAGACAAGGTTTCTCTGTGTAACAGCCCTAGCTGTCCTGGAACTCGCTTTGTAGACCAGGCTGTCCTTAAATTCACAGAGATCTGCCTGCCTCTGCCTCCCTTGTGCTGGTATTAAAGGCATGTGCCACCATGGCTGGCTTTATTTGTATTTTTTAAAAAAGGGTTTCATATAGCCCAGGCTGGCTTCAAACATGCTGTGTAGCCAAGGATGACCTTCAACTTCTGATTTTCCTGTTTCTACTTCTCCTGTATGGGATTACAGGTGCGTGCCACCATGCCTGATTTTATATACTGCTGAAGATTGAACCCAGGACTTTATGCATGCTAAGCAGAACTCTACCAGTTGCGCCATATCTCAAGTGTCTGCTGGCACATTTTAGATATTATACAGTCTAAGCATGAGAGAGCCTTAGATTTGTGAAAGGAGTTAATCTCACGTGAAACCTTTATACTGGGGCTTGGGAGGTAGCTCAGTGGTAGAGCACTTGCCCAGCAGATGCAAGGCCCTAGGTACAATCCCTAGAATGGAAAGAAACAAATAAGCACTATTCCCCAACCTAAAACCAATGAATTGAGAGAAACTTATGAATGTTTAATAAAAGTCAGGTTTTAAAACAGAAACATATCTTGCCATTCACCATCTTTGCTCCTATTCTGTCTTGGGGCAGAATTATCGGCGTCAGTCTGAAAGCATTTATACAAAATGATGCTAAGTAGTCATTATTCAATTCAGCCTGTAAATTTTCCCCAATCTCTTTAACTATTCTAAAAGGCAAGACCATTTGACACACACACACAAAAAAAAAACCCCTTTGAAGCAGAGGAACAAATTATAACATGTTCCCGAATTGACAGTTCTCCCGAAAACTGTGAAATGCCTTCATTCCATGTGTGTTTATTTTGAAGAAGTTAAATCACCTAAATGCTATCTTCCAGTCTGACTAGGACAGAATTTAAACAACAGTCCTGGAAAGAGTGAGTTTCAGGAAGGACTACTCGTCTTCCCTCAGAGAAAGAGAGCCGTGTATCAGGGGTGAAAGCATTGTTTGCAGTGCTGTGGACTGGTAAGGAGCTAGTGTTCCTATTCGGCCTTCCTAGCTGTCATATTCATCTGCTAGATTGCAGAGAGCTATGAGTCTGATGGTAGGGGGTGCATCTGTATGGGTGTCTACTGTTCTTTGCACAGAAGCATTGTAATGTTCTTTTTATGCCTGTACTGTCTTTTCAGGAGTATGTATAGAGTGAACAGCTTTCCTGGAAGACAGATTCATTCTCTCTCTCTCTCTCTCTCTCTCTCTCTCTCTCTCTCTCTCTCTCTCTCTCTCCTCTTCTCTTTTGGACAAGGTCTCATGCAGTAGCCCAGGTTTGTAAAAACATACTGTATACCCAAGGATGATCTTAAACTTCTGGTCTGCTGGGATTACAAGCAGGCACCACCACTCCCAATTTATGAGGTGCTGAGGATTTGACCCAGGATTTTGTGCATGCCAGGCAAGCATTCCACCAAGTCACCCAAGCCTGTTTTAGCCAGTTTTTATGAATACAAAGTATTCCAACAGAGAAAAGAATAAAAATTATGTTTTTCAAAATCATACACATAAGTAAACATAGAATCACTAACATATCCTTTTATCTTACTATGACTTAAGGTGGTTAACTGAATATGATTATAAAAAATTTAAATATGCAAATTTGACTATGAAAGAGCAGGCTGAGCCACTTAGGCAAAAAAAATCTATGTTTAATGTTACTGTTTCCAAGAAGTACCTTAAAAGTTAAACAATGAAACATTTTTTAAGAAATGATTTACTTTATTATTTTATGTATATGTATATGGGCCAGAGTGTATGCATGTGTACCACCACATGCAGGTGTTCATGGAGGCCAGAAGAGGTCACTGGAATCTCTGGAACTGGAGTTGCAGATGGCTGTGATTTGCCATGTGGGTGCTGGGAATAGATCCTGGATCCTCTGTAAGAACAGCCCGTGTTCTTAACCACTAGGTCATTTGTCCAGCCTCAACAGCTAACCATTTATCTGTACTAGTTTTTCCTGTTGCTGGTATTCTAGAAATGTTATTTAGAAGAGTCCATCAGCTCACATAGAAAGAACAGATATACAAGGTAGGGGGAGATGAGTTGGCATGTCTACATTTTGTGACGTAATGTGGAAAACTCAGAAACAAGTGAGAAGGCACAGTGGTGCTACATATTAAAGCAAGTCTTAGTACATTTGATACAAGAAAGGAATCTTATGATAATATTTCTGTTGGAACATTACACAGTTTCAGCTTGTATTTATAAATGGAAGAGTCCTATGATATGATAGAAAAAGAAACCCCAGAGACATGACATAAAAGGCCACAAATGAAGCTATAAAGGAGGCCAGTGACACTCAGCCCTCTACAGACAGAAAGCCATCAGGACACAAGCCTGACACCAGTAAGACACCATCCACTGCAATTTCTCCAGTTTTGCCTTTGCCACGTTCTGCTTCAAAAATGACCTAATAATGGAGAGAGAACAGAAGGTTACTTCAAAACAATGATGTCATCAGACTATTGAACAGCTGTTAGCAAGGACTAAACTTGTGTCTATATTGTATAGAAATTGCTTTTCATATTGACTACATAGCATTGTCTTGACTATATAGCAATACGTTCCCCACATGCCAACTGCTCACAGTGAGGGTTCTGTCTAGAAAAGACAGGGTCACAGCAAACACTGGAGGATTCTGAAAAGTCCTGTGCCCGGTGGTAGTGGCATCCACCTTTAATCCCAGCACTCAGGAGGCAGAGGCAGGCGGATCTTGGTTTGAGTTTGAGGCCATCTTGGTCTACAGAGCGAGTTCTAGGACATCCAGGGCTGTTACACAGAGAAGTTCTGTCTCGAACCCCAACCCCCAACACACACACACACACACACACACACACACACACACACACACACACACACACACACACACACAGAAACAGTCCTGTCCTGTAACTGAGCAGGGAACTATATATATCTTTGTTTACTTTTAAGTGTGTGTGTGTGTGTGTGTGTGTGTGTGTGTGTGCGCGTGTGCGCACGCATGTGAGAACAGGTGTTCATTATGTAGCCAAGGATGACCTTGAACTGCTGCTCCTCCTGTGTCCATCTCTGAGTACTGGAATTATTGGCATGGCCCACCAGGCCTGGTTTGTACAGTGCTGGGGACTGAACACAGGATTTTGCACATGCACTCACATTTAGGCACTCACTCTCTCAACTGAGCTATGCCCCAGGCCCCTCTTTGTTCTTCTATTGTGTGATTTTTGACCTTTCCCTCTCAAGAAAACAGCTCTTGTCAAGGTCCTCCAAACTCAGTAAGCTCTTGATCATTTTTATCCTATTTGTTCTTTATCAAATTCATTAACCAGCTTCCTCTTAGAGCGGTTTCCTTTCCCTTTATTAAACCTACTTCTACAGTAAAAGATTAACTCAGCAGCTCTGAGTTGTCCAAAACCTGAACATTTGAAAGACAGTTTTGTCCTTGACTGCTTCCTGCGAGTCAGCCTTTAAGAACTTGAAACTACTTGGTTAAGAGTGTTTTTGCTTACCTGTAACCTTTAGCCAAGCCAGATGGTTTATGCTCAGAATGTGATATATGTTGGGGGCCTTGGGTTATATGATATCAGTGTAGCCTCTGGAAATGCCGGAGAGTGGATGACTAAGGTCAGACACGCTGACAATCATATGGGCCGACTGATGCCTACTGAGAGCTCGGAGAGAGCTCAGTAAGAGAGTGCTTGCTTTGTAAGCATATGGACCTGAGTTCAGTCTCCAGAACTGTAAATATAACAGTTTTTATCAGTTCCCTGAGAGTGGGAATTCTCCCAACAGCCACCCCTTCAGTTCAGTTAAAATAACCTTTAAATAATCATACTCTGGCTACCACTTATTGAGCTAAGTTCCATAGAATGAACAAGAAACTTTTTTTCCTGCTTGTTTATTTGTTTTTAACATATTAAAGAATGTATAGACAAGTTTGCATGGAACTTAGTAAGAGGGAGCCAGACACACCAATAGGTCATTTCTAAAGAATTGGATGAGCACCCTCATTAGTCATGCTGACTAGGCAAACTCTTGCCTATCTTTGTACTCCTGACACCCATGGACACCAGTAAATAGGTTGTTAAATCATGGAAAAAGAAAAACGGAAATATGGAATTCCTTTCCCACTTACACTTTTGATAGTATCGATCCCTTGGTACAGCGGGATTTTCCCCGTCTTCCATCTCTCATCCTCATTTTCAGTCCCTTCCCATGCCAGGGCATTGTTGCTATTTTTCACGAACACTCGAAGTTTTCCTACTTTGTCTCCAGCCAGTCGGTAATCAAAGAGCAAACAGAAGTTGCTTTGGGGTGTCAAGCTGGGGAGGAGAAGTTTCAACCGGCCAATATCCTTCCTGTGCCCTGCCAGTGCTGGGACTGCCATATAATAACCAACAGCTTTAAGAGAACAAAAGGCTGTGAGGAAGGGTCTGACTATGATGCATAAATGAGCTGGAAAAGTGAACAACAGTCTCCTGTAGGAAATGCTGAAGACCTTTACATTAGAATAGAATAGTTCTGCAAAACCGAGACTCTGGATTGGAGAGTTGAAATCTTTTCCTATACAGAGAAGAGCTCTAAGGGTCAGAAAGCTAAGGAACTTTCCACATTCATAAGCAAATAAGAATATAATGGAATGGTCACTTAGCATTGAAGGTAATTTGCAGCTAATGAATTCCAGAACATTTCCACCTTGATTATTTGAATCTTAGAATACATTTTCCACTGAATCGAGAATAGGTATTGTATTAGTGACCTGTGTTGTTGCTGATACAAAATACCCTACTAAAGGAACTTAAGGAAGGATTTATTTTGGCCCACGGTGGTGGAGGAAGTCATGGCAGCAGGAGTTTGAAGCAGTCAGTCACATTGGATCCACTGTCAGGAAGTAGACAATGATGAATGCTCAGGCTCAGCTCACTTTCTCCTTTGTATCCAGTCCTGGACTCCAGCCCAGGGAATGGTGCTGCCTCCATTCTAAGCAGATTTTCCCATCTCAACTTAAAGCTAGATAATCCCACGTAAACATTCCCGAGGCTAATCTACTCTAGACAGTCTCTTACAGGTATGCTTGTCTCTTAGGTGATGTTAGAGCCTGTCAAGTTGACAATCAATATTAACCATCACAGGTATGATGGCCAGCTATTTAGGTGGATCCAGAGAGAAATGTCTCATCAAAATGTACTTGACCTATATTGTTCTAATGGCTTCTTGAGGCTCAACCACCATGTGGTAGCATATCATTCTTGAGTTCTGATGTAGGATGACTAGAATATATTTTCTTCTATGCTTGCAAACCTTCTAAGTACCTTGTAATCTGGAGAAGAGGACTGTCTGTCCATCTCTATTCTTTTCATTGTGGCTTTGGTGAATTTAAGAAACTCTTTAAAAATTATTATTATGTGTATGGGTGTTTTGTCTCCATCTATATTTGTACATGTGCATGCCTGGTGACCTTAGGGGCCAGAAGAGGGCATTGGATTACATGGAACTGGAGTTACAGATGGTTGTGAGCTGTCATGTAAGCGCTGGGAATGGAACTCAGGTCCTTTGGAAGAACACCATTGCTTTTAATCCCTGAGCCATTTCCCCCGACTCGGCTAAAATAACTCTTACAGAGCATGCTCTGAAGAACTAGACAATAAAGAATTCCCAAAGAAGCTGGGAGGAAGACATTGGGGATGGCATGCAGTATTTTCCTGGTACAACTCCTGGAGACACTTGCAGGACCCTGACTGATGCTGCCTTAGTCTTCACTGGATCCAGACACTGGTGGGTCCTCTCACCCAGCAAAAGCATAATTCTGCTAGGTGGGCAAGATGACCTTCGGTAACAACAATTTGGAAAAGAACAACACTGGTATACCTAAAATACTTCTGGCAATATACAATATCTTTGCTGTGTAAATCTTCCATCTGCCTAAGTGGCCAGACTTGCACTCTCCTGTCTCTCTGTTTCTGTTTAATTGTTTACAGTGTAACCTGAGGCTGGAACCTGAAAGAGATTTAAGGATGACAACATATGTGGAATGCTAGCCTAAGGTGTATATAAATTAGCAAACTCTTCTATTAAAGGCCAGCTTCTCTTTGGGCATTAGTCAGAGCCAGACATGTGCTAAGAGCCTTTTCCTTTATTAATTTCTACATGTGAGGAGTGATTTCTCACTGGGATGGTACATTATTTCTACAACAGCTTCACCAGAGTCTGTAGCCATCACACCTGTGAAGGCTAATATTGATTGTCAACTTTGACAGGATCTAGAATCCCCTAGGAGACAAGCCTCTGGGTATGCCTGTGAGAGACTGTCTAGAGTAGATTAGCCTCTGGAATGTCTACATGGGATGGTCTAGCTTTAAATTGAGATGGGAAAATCCACTCAGAATGGAGGCAGCACCATTCCCTGGGCTGGAGTCTAGGACTGGATACAAAGAAGAAAGTGAGCTGAGTCTGAGCTTTCATCAAGCTAAACTCCAGGATGCCCAGTGGAGTTTGAATTTCAAATAAACAATATGTTTTAGACATACTAAGAAGTGTATTTATCTCCAATGAAGGCACCTCGTACTTTATGCAGTCACTCTATCAGCTGTTCTCTCTCTTCTGGGACCTTTTCAATCCCAGCTAAAGCCTTTCAGCTTTCCTTGAGTGTTTATCCCTCCAATACTATCAATTCATTCCATGTTTCTCGTCTATATTTAGCTCTATAGGGGAAGACAAGACCATTTTGAGACCTGATAAACATGTAGGAAGGGAGAAGGTATGATGTGAGTGCCTCAGATGCTGAGAACCTGGGGGGTCATTTGCAAATTGGGTGTTTGCAAATAGAAGACTTCTCATTGATGGAAAAGTCAATGTAAGACAATCCTGACTAGGTGAGCTGTCAATCTGGGACTCCCCATGTGCTACAGCTCTGGTAGCACCACTATCTACATTCCCATGACGGAAGGAAGGAGAAACTTGTGTTAGTTATCAAGACAGTTTCTCCAAAGATGGCTTATCTCCTGTTAGAGTTGTCCACTGAATCTTTGGTGAAAGGCCCACTAGAACAACTGTTGTGTGGGATATATTCCTTCTACCCCAATTGCAAGTCCTACCAGGAATTCTTGGTAGAGGATATCAAAGCTTTCTGACTGCAGGTACAGGCTTGCAAGGAAATATCTCAGGAAGGAATTTTCCCTAAGAAAGGATCTTTTAACCCAAGGCTGAGCCTGCACATCCCCAAAGAAATACAATTATACTAGTGAGGAACTGGACTCCAGAGCTGTATAACAGTTGTTCCAGTTCTATGGCCAGCTTTTAGGAGATCAGGATTCCATATTGTGCTCCAAATTGTGTCTGCAAGCCAAATACTTCATCCAAGGGGAAGCCAGGGCCCATCAATAGTGCTGAAGCAGACACTACAAAAGGCAGGAAGTTCATGGCTCAGTGCTGATGTTGAGACCAATCCAAGGCCAGGTGGTCAGAAAGAATTCCTTAGGCAACAGAAAGGAAAGCTGAGTCTTGGAGTTTAGCTCATTAACTTGACACTCATTGTGGTTTTGATCCTTTGAGAGGTGACTCTACTTTAATTCCAGTGTAGACAGAGGTCCTATTACCTTTAAAGATTTATTTCCTATCAAAACACAATGAAAACTACAGAGGACTGTGGCTGGTAAACTGGGAAAAGGGGAGCTCTCAGAGACACCCCACCCTACCCCCACCCCCACCTTCCTCTCCTTTTCATCTCCCTCTCCCACTCTTAGAAGGAAGAGGGTAAATATAAAAGAGGGATGCTGGGACACATTTCCTGGGTCATAAGAGAGGGATGAAGAGGAAATAAATGCTGCACCAGTTACTCATCCATCCGAGGCCACCTCAGAAGGCCAAAGGTTCCCAAAGATGATAAACAACCATGAGCTAAGCAGTGACAGGAACAACCCTCAGGTAACAAACAGCCTTCTCTACCTCTCCTAGAACATGTAGCAGTGGAATTTAAATACCATTGTCTCGATCAGCAGGAGTCCAGTCAAAATCATCTTCTCTGTCCTGTTTCCAGTCACAGACCCCATGATCAAAGCTGCAGTCAACTGAGATGTTTAAGTCTGCTTTAAAAAAAAAAAAAGCACATTCAGAACCATTAAGAGCGTCACAAAAGTAGCTAATTTGGAGCTCTGGGAGGTGATGTCATGGGTTTAGGTGCACATAGATCGTGGCAACTGACATGCTTATTGGGGTAGTTTAAACAAGATTCGCTATTTTTAGACTTCTACATTTTATGTGTATGAGTGTTTTGTCTGCATGTACACCATGTGCGTGCCTGGAGCCCATAGAGGTAAGAAGAGGGCATTATATGGTTAATTATATGTATATTATGTTACAGATGGTTGTGAGCCACCATGTGGGTGAGAACAGAAGCTGGGTCCTCTGCAAGAGCAGCGAGTGCACTTAACCACTGAGCCACCTCTCCAAATAACCTATTTTGAGTTACATCTGTACAATGTGTACAGCTATTCTCAACATATTCTGTTGTAATCTTAGAAAATAAAACTGAAGGAACCCAAAAGATGGCTTCAAGGTTAAGAGCACAATGACCTTCATTAGGAAGCAAAGCAGGAAATATAACCAGTTGTTCATAACATTCAGGCCAGAGCCAAAGCCCAGAAAACAAGTGTCTGTGGAGTGCGCAGTCATAAGACATCTAACTCACACCCCTTCCTACAAGGTTCAGGTATTTTGTAACAGTGAGAGCAGACTGACCCACATACGCATCCAACTAGTATTTCCTGTGGCCTACATCATCTCAAAACCAGATAGTTATAGATAGTCCCTGTGCCTCTGAGGCGGTGCTTCTCAACCTCCCTAATGCTGTGTGTGACCCTTTAATACAGTTCCTTACGTTGTGCTGACCCTCCCAATCATACAATTATTTTCATCGCTACTTCGTAACTGTAATGTTACTACTGTTATGAATCATAACGTAAACATCTGTGTTTTCCGATGGTCTTAGATGACCCCTGTAAGGGTCATTTGCCCCCCAAAAGGGTTGTGATTCACAGGTTGAAAACCACTGCCCTAAGACCTCTGAAATTATTCAAATTATCCAACCTTAAATGCTCTCCCTTGCCCCCTCACCCTTGACTTTCCTTCCACATAAGCCTTAAAGATGACCTTGGCCTAGTTTTCCACTAGCTCTTACTGTTGCTCAGTGTATCCTCTTCTCTTGTGAGTGTACATAATAAATCATTGTTTCAACGGCATTGGCCTCATGTTGTCACCGAGTCACATCCATGAATTAAAATTCAGTGGGCATTTCATGATTTCAAGATTCCTGTTAGAAATTTGCCAGGCACTTATTGGATCAAATAAGCTAACCCACTGGCAGTTTCTAAAATGTGTTTTTTTGGTGTTGTTTCCTATTATGGCAGAATGGCTGTGTAGTTCAGATGTACCAGAGGAATAAGAGTGGAGGCAGCTAGTGCTAGACACTGTTTTTTTTTCCCCCGAGACAGGGTTTCTCTTTGTAGTTTTGGTGCCTGTCCTGGATCTCGCTCTGTAGACCAGGCTGGCCTCGAACTCACAGAGATCCGCCTGGCTCTGCCTCCCGAGTGCTGGGATTAAAGGCGAGACACTGGTTTTGAACCAGTGTCTCTGGTTACTTTTATGTACAGCAGAGGCCTTCAAACCAGCACGTTAGCCTACTGTCGATTTTGTAAAGTCTTACAGAAGCACAGCTTCCCATGTACTTATATAGTATCTTGTTCCTTTAAGCTCCAAGGACAAGGCGCCCTATGAGCTACAGAGACCATATGGCTCACAAAGCCTCACATATTTGCTCTCTGGCCCTTTCCACAGAACAGTGTGCTGACTCACGACGTAAGATAACAGCGATAAAGCACTGTGAAAGAAGACAAAGACCAAGACGCTTCTGATTTAAAATTAAGGCAGCCCCCCTTTCTCTCCAGGGTTTCTCTGCGTGGCCCCAACTGGCTGAAACATGGATCAGAATGGTTTCCCACTTATATAAGCCCACTTGTCACTGCCTCCAGAATGCTGCCATTAATGGTGTGTACTATCATGTCAGGCCAGCCTTTTCTTAAAAATTATTAAAATTATATTTTAGATCAGAGGACAATCTGTGGAAGTCAGCTCTGTCCTGGGGATCAATATCATGTCATCAGGGTTGGTGGCAGCTGCTTTTTCCTTCTGAGACATCTTGCTGGTCCATAAGTTGCTTTTTCTTGACTTATGTCAATTTGCCATTTTTTCCCCACAAAGGTCACGTCATTTAATTTGCTTATCAGAAATATCTGTCACTGGACCCTCAATAAATCTAAGGCTCCTGAGTGACTTATCCAGGCTCCACAGATACTGGATGCTGGAACTGAGCCTGAGATCAGGCTGAGATCTATGACTACCCACTTTGCACAGGCCAGGTTTGGCTTTGAGGTGGGACGCATTAAAGGGGACAGTATATCATATCAGAGGCAGCATGATGGGGATCTTAATTGGAAAGAGACTCTCTTTTTTAGAACCTGGAGAGGAGCTTCATTAAGAGAGATAGCCTAGCCAGGGTGGTGGTGGCACATGTCTTTAGTCCCAGGACTTGGGAGGCAGAGGCAGGTGGATCTCTGTTGAGTTTGAGGCCAGCCTGGTCTGTAGAGTGAGCTCCAGGACAGCCAGGGCTGCACAGAGAAACTCTGTCTCAAAAAATGAGAGAGAGAGAGAGAGAGAGAGAGAGAGAGAGAGAGAGAGAGAGAGAGAGAGAGAAGCCCAAGAACAAGGGAGCTAGTTTGGCTTTTATATACTTTTTTAACTGTTGGGAAGTTTCATACATGAAGTTTAATTCAACATAGCCTATGGGGTAAAGATCATGAAAGAGTCAGGTTCTGGGTAAGACTTTGCTTCATTGGCTGTTAGGTCACAACACAGCATGGCATCCTAACTCTGACCCAGAGGGAGAGCTGCAGGGGTGTATGGATGTAAGATCTGGCCTCTTACAGTGTCTGACTGGCATCTTAATGTGATCAGCTTTTTAAAGGGGCAGACCCATGATCTGGATTTAACAGGTAGAATGGGAACTAGTTGGAAAGAGGAATAGAATCAGTGAGAGTGGGAGCGGCACAAGAGAGGTAATCGGGATGAATATGAGCAAAACACATTACAAGCATGTATAAAATATCATAATGAAATTTATTATGTATAATTAATATATGATAATAAAACATTTTAAAATGACCTACTATTTAAACACTGGTGGTTAGGGGTAAAGAGATTTCCTCCTGGCGTGATATAACCATCTTTTATCATGGAGGAGAAGTTACCAAGCTAACCTACAGAGTACTTGGCCTTGTAGTCATGGCAACATAATAAAATAAACAGAAAAATACAGTGATGGGCAGGTCTATAGTAGTGGTAACAGAGTCATTAACAGTCTCTAGTAGTGGGAGGGGCTCACAGGACTTTCACCTAGGATTCCAGCCATCCACTCCCTCTTGACCCCCTCTCCCAGCTGCACATGGTCTTGGGAGGCATTAGGGCAGACAGGACCTGAACAAAAGGCAGGACTCCATAATGCAGCTTTTGTGATGTCATTGTCACCTATGATGAAGTGGGGACCTCATTCACTCATGCTTCTTTAAAATAAGCCTGATAAGCTCATATTTCACCAACTTAGACTTGGGTAGAATGGTTACTTTGGTCGGTTACTAGTGCCACATCTAGAGTGAATAAATATTTGTTTACTCATGTCTCCCCAGGAAAGACAACACACATTAGTTCTGCACCCCACAGTGTAGGGAATTTTCTCTCAGTTGCTAATGACTGAAGTAGTAGTTTCAGGAAATGAAAGATGATGCAGGAGAGCGTGAGCAAGCACAGACTCCCTAGCTGCTTTTATTTCTCTCCCAGGGGCTGATAAAGTATGCTATGCTATGCTCTCGAAGTCCCTCCCCCTCGTAGCTACAAGGTAAGTTTATAGTACTATCTAGTGCCTGTCTCCATGCTAGCATGTAGGCCAGCCCGAGCTAGGTCACATGGTGTGAAGCTTGACTTCCTAACCCCCTAAACCTATAAGAGTCAGAAATCCCCTTTGTTCTCCAGCTTTAAGGGGGAGGCTTGCTTTCTTCCTTCAAGGTCCTGTTATGGCTCCCTACAGCCATGATGCTATTTCTCTCCTGAGTTGAAAGGTCTCTCTTCCACTCCAGGGCCTCATCTAACCAAGGTCGTCCTGAAGGGTGATCTCATGTCAGCTCCTTTCCATGAGTCTGCTGCTGTTTTAAATTATAAAATAATTAGAAAGAAAGTATTAGTTAGTTACTGTGAACAAAAGTTCCCGGAAAGGAGCCAAACCTACACAGAACACTCTACAAAGGCTAGCTACTTCAGTGACTGCAGAGAGGTTGGAATGCAGCAGATGCAGTTGAATTATTTTGAGCTATTTTTAGCCCCTTTAATAGTCATTCATTGCCTACCTCCATGTCTGACCTGACATCCTTGTGACTGTCGGGTGAATCCTTCTGAGATGTATTAACTTAGCAGACTCCCATCTTGCACCAACCCCAAAGCTAAAAATGTCATCAGAAAGCATCTGGCGCCTACAGCAGAAGTTTCCCCACTTGGCTGGAACATATCAACCTGGTGTTCTCATCAATGCATTTGAAAAATGATTCGATTTGTGACTTTCTTCGTTCTTTACCATAAAAGTCTAGCAAACTGCTACTACGTTGGAAAATGATGTTTGACATATCTGAAATCTGTATTCCCAGGCCATGGCCCCTCATCGTTTATTCTCTTTGAGATGAAAACTGTTGTTTTTTTTTTTAAATCATTACCTTTGTGTTCCAGTTTGGAATTTAGCTCTTTTCTTTGGACATAGACCAGATCCAAATCCTCTGCTTCATTTACCTTAGGAGCTGATAAAAAACCTTGATCAGTTAAGAAATAACCCAAACCCCCACATGCACCAAAGGAATGACTTTAGTGTTGGAACCTAGAAGGTTTTGTCATGGAGACTAATGGTAAAACATGTTATATCACCATCTCCCTACCATTTTCCACTCCGTTTCCTCACCTGGAATAGTGTTTGCCAGAAGTTCCCTCCAGTGAGCTCAGCATCCACACTCTGGACACACCCCTTCTCGCCAGGTCTTGGAAACCCACTTTTGCTTGAAATTTTCATTAGTAAGGGAGATTTTATGTGACTGGTATACTGTTTGTGACCTAGATGAGCCTGTGTCTACTTAGTCCTTGGTTAATTTCACCTGGCATTGGTGTATATGTGCTCACCAGTCTTATAGCCAAGAATACAAGCTAAAACAAAGCACCCAGAAAGGAGGAAGCAGGGTCTCAGTGTGGGGATTCAGGACTGACACACAAACTGTCTAGGGCAGATGGCCTGAGACTTATGGTGGGCTCTGTAGACCAACCTCTGCAAACAGGGTTCACTATGACAGGGTTGTATGGGGCCACCTGGTTCATGCTTAAAACTTAAGCTCTGTTGTAGTGTTTTGCTGCTTCTGTAATTTTGTATTTTGGCTTAAACTTTTTTTTGGACACAAAGTCTCACTATGCAGTCTTTTCTGACCTGGAACTTGCTAGGCAGACCATAGTTGTCTTAAATGCAGAGAGATATGCCTACCTCTGCCTCCTACATGCTGGGATCAAAGGTGTATATAACCAGGCCTGGCTATTTTGGCCTTTACAATTCTAAACATACAGCTGTGATATTCTCTACTCACAGAGTGAGTCTTCCAAAAGTACCTTCAATAAATAAAAAAGTGAGGTGAGAAGGACTCACAAGGTAAGCAAGTTGCTCCTGTTACTGTAAATAATTCCTTAATTAAACCTGTGGTGACTGTTAATGTTCCCCCAGAGAAGGAGGAAGTGGGGTGGGTCATTGGACCACCACCTGAGTTTCTGGCTGCTTCCTCCTACACCTTCCAGGCATTTGTATATACTTCTGCCCTAACTGCATGTCCTGTGGTCTTGGAAAGTGCTAGAGTATATAGGTTGTGGATGGGTAAACTGAAGGGGGACTCTATCTATGTACTTTGCGGGGGGGGGGGGGGGGGGGGGGGGGGGGGGGGGGGGTTGTCATCCATTCAGAGGTGAGACTGGACGGTGGGTGTGGCTGCTTTGGATTCACTCACATTCCTCTAAGCAGCCCATCACTCATGCTTAGTAAGTAAGCCCAATAGACAATAACTTGGATACCTAAGTTAGACTCGGGCCACAATCATCCTTTGTGCTATTGTTGGGGCCTTATAAAGAGGGATAGAGAGGGCTTGTTTCTATCTCCCCTGAGAAGGAATTCAAATGTACAACAGGTTACAAAAAAAGACATGTATGAAATTTCATTTATATAATTAATATGGCTCATAAAAGTACCTTTTTTTGAGACAAAGTTTTTTTTTTGTGTGTGTGTGTGCATGTAGCCCTGGCTATCCTGGAACTCACTCTGTAGACCAGGCTGGCTTTGAACTCACAGAGATCCACCTTACCTCTGCCTCCTAAGTGCTGGGATTAAAGTTGTGCACCACCACCATGGGCATCATAAAAACTTTTCAAATGCTGGATGTGGTGGTGCATATGTTTTAATCTCAGTACTGAGAAACAGAGGGTAGGCAGATATCTGAGTTCAAGGCCATCCTAGTCTACATAGTGAGTTCCAGGCCAGCCAAAACTACATAGAGAGACCCTGTCTCAAAGAAAAAAATAAAACCTTTTAAAAAAGAAGTAAAAAGAGAGTGCTTAGGAGACCCAGTGATGAAGGTCTCTGATTTGGCTATTTGGTGTCCTGCATGGAAAGTCTGGCAGCATACAACTATGCATGGAGGGGCAGTGCTAAACAGGAAGCACCCAGGTAAGGAGACAGGACAGGACTTAGCCTCCCGTTTCCCAGATCAGTAGATCCCATTTAGCATGTGTGAAAACTGTCCTCTAGACCTTACATAGGCCCTTGCTTCTGAGGACTTGACAGCCAAACTATGTTCCTTTTGCTAGTTTAAAACACTTCACCACGTGTTCTCCTTTGTGTGCTGATCCTAGCCCCTAATGTATATATGTCAACAGGTACAAATATGGGTATAGTACAGCATTTAGAAATAAGACCAAGAAAGGGTAATAGTAGGTGATGAGAAGGTCAGAATACAGGCAAAAGGACACATGAGTCATGAAAGAGGAAATAAAGCTATTTTCCCCAAATCTGAACTCTGTTATGTTTTTTCTTTTTTGTGGAGGATAGGTGCATAAAAACGTAATCGGTAGTGAAACCCCAAGTGAAGTGCCACAGCTTCAGAATGGCCATTATAAGTGTACAGACGCTCACTGAGGTGTATAGAGTTCAGGAACTGCACAAATGTTTGAGTGGCCTCCTCAAAGTTGCTGTGTGATGTTTTTATTTGTGATTTAATAAAGTGATTGTATTAGAATGATTTTTGAAATAAAAAGTTGGTATGTTTCAGACTCGGTCTACAGAAAGGGAGCTAAGCCATCTTTCTTAAGGTCGGACTTGTCTACTCTTGTTTGTTGATTTGTCATAAGGAGCCATGTTTGTTTTTGTAAAATTGCAAGACTAACAAATACTTACAAAACACATCTCCTCGAAGGCTTCGCTCTTGTTCTACCTCGTTCTTTAGGACTTTGTTGCTTTTCTCTTCCTCCAGCCCCTCTCTCTTTCTCTCTTCGTTCCTCTTTTGTTCTCCGTCCGAGTTCCGCCCCTGAAAACGCTCTCTTCAGAGCTGGAAGGCAAGTTAACCTTAGGGGTCCGTGTACTGGTGGGTCTTGGGTGTGCCATTTTTAAGTTTCACCTTTTTCTTCATATTGTGCTTGTGAGCCAGTAACTTCTTGATTCGATCTTTGATGGTCCCAGGTGCTCTGAGTACTTCCTTCACAGAATTTTCAGGGATAACTAAACCGAAAAGTAAGACAGGAGAATTCCTATTTGGTTGAGATCATTCTTAAACAATTGACCATTTTGAAAGTGTCAAAGGGCAGGAAATCAGCTATAATAAGACCCCTATAACACCCCCTCCAAGTCTCAGCGAACATCATGGAAGAGGGGATGGAAAAATATGAGCACCAGAGGATGAGCAATTGCACTCATGAACTCACAGTAGCTACTGGTAACCTGCACAAGATGGAGCCTATTAACATTTCATTACGGATGGAGGAGGGGCTTATGAGGCCCCATCTTCTCTGAGGAACTGTTGGCAGTTGATGGTTATGGCGGGCAATGTGTGTGTGTGTGTGTGTGTGTGTGTGTGTGTGTGTGTGTGTGTGTGATTTTCTTCAATGGTGTAGATACTGGTAACTGCCTCCATCCCATGCTCATGCAAGCAACTCTAATTAAACTCAGTAGGTCACTACCCTTCCCCTAAGAAAAAACAAAACGACACCAAAGACATGAAACTAGGAGGGAGACTTCAGATAAAGGGGTTCAGCTGGAGCGGGATGAGAGGCTAATGGGGGGAACGGTGCTAAAATGACCAAAATTCATTAGATACATGTATGAAATTGTATAAGGAAAATAAATTTAAAAACTATCGGGCTTCATAGTCATCATTTCTGGGCCACTTCTGGCTATACTTCCTGTGTCCCTGGCAACACACTAACTTTGCAAGTGAAAAACAGTGATAGATAAAAGAAGGGGTAAGTATCAGTATTGCTGTCTTTAAAATTCGAAATATCATGTGAAAAGAGAGAGAGTACTAAAATTGCCCCCTTTGTTCAGAATTAAAATACCATATGAAAGGAAGGAGGGTAGACATAACAGGGCTTTGTTGAGGCCCATCAACAGAAGGCTACATTTTCCTATGGTAAAGCATGGCTTTTTAATTTTTTTAAATGTTTGTCTTTTATATTTTTTCTTTCTTTAATTTATTTTTTCTTTCTTTAATTCTTTTTAGAAAAGATTTATTATGTATAGTGCTCTACCTGCACATTTGCCTGCACACCAGAAGAAGGCACCATATCTTATTATAGGTGGTTATGACCCATCATGTAGGTGCTAGGAACTGAACTCAGGACCTCTGGAAGAGCACTCAGCACTCTTAACAGCTGAGCCATCTCTCCAGCCCCTCGTCAATTCTTTTTTTTTATCTACTCTGCTATATGATTTTTGGCTGCACAATGGGGTCTAACTGGTTCTGGGTGGAGCCATGACTTTCTAAATTGCCAGAAAGATTCCAAGATTCTCACCCGCCAGGAGCCTTTCTGATAAAGAACAAAGATTCACTCTTTTTTCTTCTCTTAAGAGTTAATTCAAAAGGGACCTTCCAATCAACTGGGGAGGAAAATATCCCTCAGAAAGGCAGTCTGTTCCAGAGACTTTGTTACTCATTTTTAGGTGAGCATACAAATAACAGGTTTTCTTTTTTTCTTCTCTCTCTCTCTCTCTCTCTCTCTCTCTCTCTCTCTCTCTCTCTCTCTCTCTCTCTCTCTCTCTCTCAGACAGGGTTTCTCTGTGTAACTTTGGAGCCTGTCCTGGAACTAGTTCTGTAGACCAGGCTGGCCTCGCACTCACAGAGATCTGCCTGCCTCTGCCTCCTGAGTGCTGGGATTAAAGGCACATGCCCCCATCACCTAACTAATAATGGTTTTCATTATGGCATTTCCACACTGTCCCAGAGACTTTAAAAAAAAAGCACAAAGATGGCTCAGCCTTTAAGAGCTAGGCTCATAACCAAAAAGCGCATACATTACCTTCACATGCTGGCCAACCCCATTGGTCCTTTTGCACATTGTCCGCTCTGACGCTGTGAGATCATTTTCCTTCTTGACCACCCTTTTAGTCTTTGCCCATTCTTACCCTGATAGTGCCTCATGTTATTCTGAGATAAACTCTAGCTGTCTTCTACAGTACCCTCTGTGTGTCTTACCTGCATACTTTCAGTGGAGATTGTAAGGACCAAGGAGCCAAGGGAAGACCAGAGCTAGATTTGGGCAATGGGGAAATGCTGCTGTAAAAGAACTCAAGAGGTGGAAAAGGGCTGATTATGTTGGTACTCTTGTTTTGTAGATGGGTCAATTAGTGACTTGCCCATGGGCACTTGGCTAGCTAGCAGCAGAGTTAGGACTTGAAAGCAAAGTACAAGAATATCTTCTATTTTCTACCATTTCTGTGATGGGCTTATTCATGCTTTAAGATTAACAATTACTTTTCTCTAGACTGAGCCAAATTCCCTGAGTTCTGTGATTCAAAGACACATGTCCTTGTTCTGTGAGGAAATCAAACTAATATTAAATAAATAAGCGATTCCTGATTTTAAAAATTTTAGTTTTAACCCCCGCCCCCATGACATGTGTGTGTGTGTTCACATGTGTGAGTATTGGCCTAAGCATACCATGACATGTGTGGAGGTCATAGTGGAACCTCAGGTGTTGGTCCTCACCTTCCACCTTGTTTGAGACAGGGTCTCTTGTTGTTTGCCACTGTATATGCAAGGCTAGCTGGCCCGAAGATTCCTGGAGAGTCTTCTGTCCCCAGTTTCCTAGCTCACCATAGTACAGATGGGTGCTGCCATTTCCAGCTTTAACAAGAATTCTGGAGATCTGAACTCAGGTCCTTATGCTTGTATGCCAAGCATTTTACCCACTGACTTATCTTTTCAGCCCACAAATTATTAAAAAAAAAGAAACATATTAGGGCCAGCAAGGTGGCTCCATGGGTAAAGGCTCTTGCCTTATAAGCTTGGTGACCTGACTTTGATCCCCAGACCCCACAAACATGTAAATGAAGAGAACTGACTCCACAAAGTTGTTCTCTGACTGCCCCACTTAAACCAGGGCATGTGCATCCCACACCACATGTCACACACATACAAGCAATAAATACAAATTTAAAAATGAAAAATACCAATCTTTAAAACCAGGTCTGGCCGGGCGGTGGTGGCGCACGCTTTTAATCCCAGCACTCGGGAGGCAGAGGGCAGGAGGATCTCTGTGAGTTCGAGGCCAGCCTGGTCTACAAAGTGAGTTCCAGGAAAGGCGGCAAAAACTACAGAGAAACCCTGTCTCGACAAACCAAAAAAAAAAAAAAAAAAAACCAGGTCTGGGAATGTAGCTCATTTGGGAGCATGCTTGCCTAGGATGCACAAAGCCTTGGGTTCAATCCCCAGCACTAAATGAATTGGATGTGGTGGCACATGCCTGTAATCCAAACAACCAGTAAACAGAAGCAGGGGTTCAGAAGTGCAATATGATCCTCAGCTACACAGGAAACTCAAGGCCAGCTGGGGACATGAGAGATACTGTCTCAAAAAATACAAAATGAAACAAACAAACAAACAAAAACACTGAAAAAAACACATGAGAAATAATCAAACATATTTTTGAGTATTATATTCTGGGCTGGTGGTTAGCACTGTATGTGGATATTTGTTTATTCTGTAAGGATTATTTCATTTAATATTAAACAATATTAAGGGATAGATGTTGCAATACCTATTTTTGCACACATGGAACCTGAGATACTGGAAGGTAAATACTTGTTCTCAGTCCACAGGTTCAAAGCCAAGGACTTAGGAGTCCAGCTAAGGTAATTATATTCCAAAAGCTGTGCACCTAGATGCTAAAAAGTAGAAGTTTCTTTGTCACAAGAAATATTTGTGTTGATGTGAGATTTACAATTTTAATGCACTGGGCTACAGTATAGAAAACAGGGGCTGGAAACAACTCCACACTCCCCCCCCATTAAGCTTTCTCTCTCTCTCTCTCTCTCTCTCTCTCTCTCTCTCTCTCTCTCTCTCTCTCTCTCTCTCTCTCTCAGATAGGACCTCATGTAGTCCAGGGTGGTCTCAAATGCACCATGTAGCCAAGGATAACCCAACCTTTTAATTATGCCTCTATTTCTCCAGTGCTGGGATCACAGGTGTGTGCTACCATACTCCATTTATGTGGTGCTGGGGATGGAACACAGAGCCTTATGCATGCTAGGCAAGCACTCTGCTAACTGAGCTCCATCCATGGCCCCTCTAGGCAGTTATTTCTAATTCTTCAAGTTTTAGCCATGGACGTTAGGAGATAGCCACATAGAGGCAAACTGCCCTTTTAAAGAAACACATCTTTTCTTGGGGCTTCTATTTTTCTGCAAAGCACTTTTGCAATTATCGTTATAGAATTTCACAGTACAGCAGCTGGCCCTCCATGGTGGGTTGAGATGATACTCGTAACAATTCTAAGCACAGTAAACTTTACTGAGTATCTATTGTGTGACCAACTGAATGAAGCTTTCTATATATGTCGCCTCATTTCAGCTCCAAGACAAGCTTCTCAGAGATGTATCAGTCTTAGTATGAGTTACCTTCAGCAAATCCCCAAAGAAGAATTTGGGTGTAGGTGATTGATTTGGGGCAGGATTCCAGAAGGCAGAGTAGGGAAGGAGGACAGTGAGTCAAAGGAGGTGAGAGGAGACAAAAATGGTGTCACAATGGACAGGTTATCACTGTGGGCAATGAACTCAGTCTGACTGGAGAAATCTGGGAGACTGTCTGCATTACTGTTCATGATTGCCTGACACTGTGAAGGGGAAGGAAGGGAATTTACTTAAAGACTCCAAGCCCTCCAACGGCCGAGGGTGTTTCCTAGAGACATTCCCCATCTCTCGCTGCACCTGCAGGGTCTGGGAAGGTTTGTAGACAATACCCTAAGGTCCCAAGGCATGAAGAGTCTACTGCCTTGCATCTAAGATCTAGGAATATGCATGGCATGCTCTATTTTGCCTTCTCAGAGTTGGGGGAACTCCTAGGTACTGTGAACTGGCCTATTACAGGCACCCACCACATGAACTATCATGAGCTCTAATTGGGGTCCAATTTTTTTTATGAGTGTGTGCACGAGGTATCTGCAAATGTGTATACATGTTTTATGTATGTTGGGTACAGGTATGGATACACATGGAGGCTAGAGATCAATATCAGGTTTTCAATTGCTGTTCATTTTATATATTGAGGGGGAGTCTCTCACCTGAACCTAGAGCTCACTTATTCAGCTTGTCTGGCTAGCCAGCTTGCTCTGGGGATCTTCTGTCTCCACTTCCCAAGCGCTGGAATTAGAGGCAGGCCACTATGCCATCCCAATATTTTCGTGGATGTTGTGGATCTGTATGCAAGTCTTTATGATTGAGAGGAAAGTACTTGACCCACTAAGCCATTTCCATACCAGCCTGGTGTTTAATACTTTGTTCTGGGACACAAGGACCTGGGTATCTCAGATGCCCTGTGGACACTGATCCATGCCTACATCATTACTACTCTGTGAGTCTCCTGCTCCACTCTTAGAAACTATCCAGTCAGCTTTGCAGGAGACTAGAATTTCTACCCATTGGTCTCAATCTTCTTTGGAGGGGCTACTTTTTTTTCACATTTCTTAAAATTTTCCAGGCACAATTTATGCTTCTCCTCATTATTTTTATTCACAGTAAAGGCTGCCTACTTCTTTTGGCAGGTGTTCATGGAACCTGATTTCTAGACACAGCCACAGCCCACTTGGATACCATGAACCTTTTATGTGTGTGCTGTTGAATATCTGTCATGGTACAGAGTGTTTAGTCTTGCACAACCTAGAAGATATTCTGTGTGTCATCAGGAGACTTGGCTGGGTGGGGCCATGGGATGTGAGGCAGGTCAGCATATGATTTACAGTCGTACTTACAAGACTTGTAAGGGCCAAAGGGCATAGGAAATACTTGAGACAGGGCAGTAAAGAAGTCTATAGCAGGTGTGGCAGCACATGCCTGGAATCCCAAGACTCAGGAAGCCAAGGCAGGATAATAGTTCAAGGCTAGCCTGGACTACATACTGAGTATCAGGCAGCCAAGACTACATAGCAAGACCTTGTTTCAAAACAAAATAAAACAAAAAAACAAACAAGCAAACGAACAGGACCAGGCTTAGCTCATTAGAAGCACTTGATGAACAAGCCTGGTTTGATCTCCAGAGTTTACAAAAAGGTGGATGGAGAGAACTGACTCCAGAAAGTTTCCTCTGACCTGTACATGCATGCTCCCACAAACACCATGCACACACACACACACACACACACACACACACACACACACACACACAGACACACAGACACACAGACGAATGCAGGCTTTAGGATGACAAGAAGAAATGGTATCTACCACATCCTAGTTTGTCTTGGTTGCTGTTCTGAAAAAAGTCCAGATGAAAGTGTGTTGTGACAAGAAAAATAAGATGTATCGCCCTTGTGTGTGTGTTTTTTCCTCCTAGGTTTTGTTTGTTTGTTTTTGAGACAGGGTCTCATGTGTCCCAGGCTAGACCCAGAATCACTAAGTATTGGAGGATGACCTTGAATGTTTGAGCCTCCTGCCTCTACCTCTTTTAAGTGCTGGGATTATCACGCCTAGTTTATTCAGTCCTGGGGGCCAGTCTTTGTACATGTTAAGCATTCTACTAACTGAGCGACATTCCAGCCCTAGATCTTTTCAGCTTTGTGCCTATAACTTTTGTGAGTACCAGGAATACAGCCCAGCTAGGAAAAGACACAAGGCTGACACACACACACACACACACACACACACACACACACACACACACACACACACAGAGACAGAGACAGAGAGAGACAGAGACAGAGACAGAGAGAGACAGAGACAGAGAGACAGGGAGAGAGAGAGATCTGGAAAAAGAACTGGAAAGAATGCTTTTGTGGGGCGGGGGTAGATAGCAAAACTGTCATGACCAAATTCTACTTACCAGAACACTGAAGTCCATTGCCCCTATATCCTTGCTTGCATTTGCACTTGAAGGATCCTTGAGTATTGAGGCAATTGGCATGGAGGCTGCACATATGGGTATTCAGAGCGCACTCATTTATATCTGAAAAGGGGAACATTCCAGTGGACAACTTGATGATAAAAGGGCTTTGCTGAAAGGGTGGCCTTCTCACTTGAATAACTTCAAGGCCAAGCACTCAGACCTCAGCAAACGAAGTGCTGCCTGAGAGTGGAGAGGTGTTCAAAACCAGAAGCCCTTTGGCCCAGATCCCTGGCTTTCCCTGGCGCCTGTCTGGAATGTAGGAAGGGCGCCTGCAACTCACCTCCCCAGAGCGACTTCGTGGCCTGCTTATTATTAATGCTATTGAAATCTACTAAGATGTTTGGAGTTTCTCCTTAACATTTTCATCTAAGTAATCTGGAACTAAGTGACAGTATCAGAAAATAAATGCTAAATTTTGGATTGGTTTGTTTTTTATCCGTGTAATCTGAAACTAAGTAACAATACCAGAAAACTGAATTCTAATTTTGGATGGCCTTGAAACTTTTCATAAAGAAAAGACAGGATCAGCCAGGAACCTCTGACATCATCTGAATTCATGGGCATGGGCATTTGTTCAGGACCTGCCAGCGGAAAGGGTCAGGCTGGTTTGAGCTCGTCTGCTGGCTTTAGAGGTGGAAAACTGGCCAGATTCCACCCAGGTGGGAGTTTCAAGTGCTCCACTCTCCACCCCATGTCCTGTCTATGCCTTTGTAGATGTAAGCATACAGAACAGTGCATTGTGTGGAACTCGGTCACAAAAGGAGCTCGGATGCTAATCTTAAGCACCTTTTAGCACGTCAGAGATTTGCTTCCTTGTGAAGCTATGTGGATTCCTAACTTGCTGTGTGGGGGAAGTCCTTGCAGTGTCAGGGGACTGGGGAACACTGTACCACTGTCATTGGATTGCACAGCAGGGTCAACATGACAGGGTGGGGTCCAAGCTCAAAACAAATATGAATTTCATGTGCCTGATTTTGTGTCAAAGAAAATTTGAGGGAATAACCATGGAGGCATCCCAAGATGGTTCAAAAACCAGCAATAGGGTGCTTTCCCAACATGATGGTACAAGACAGGTCCCTAAGCACAGGACTGAAAGAATCACATTTTCTCCAATGGTTGGCTTTCTGTGCCAAGTGCATACCTTTGTCACCCATGTTATGTGAATAGAGAGTGAAAGTCAATCCAATTTCTCTTCACTATAAGCAATTGTTGTGGGATATTTGTACATTGTGTGAAGATGTATTGATGTGATTGGTGTAATAAGAGCTGAATGGCCAATAGCGAGGCATGAGGTATAGGTGGGACTTCCGGGCAGAGAGAGCTCTGGGAAGAAGAAAGGTGGAGTTTCCAGTCAGACATAGAGAGGAAACAGGAGGTACATGGTGGAAGAGAGGTAATGCCACATGGCAGAACGTAGAAAAATACAAATGGGTTAATTTAAGTTATAAGAGCTAGTTGAGACAAGCCTAAGCTAAAGGCCAAGCTTTCATAATTAATAATAAGTTTCCATGTTGTTATTTGGGAGCTGGTGGCCAACAAAAAAGCTTGCTATAGGCAATGGGTAAACATATCCAACTTCAGAAGCTCTTTGAGGCTTGGGATCCCTTCACTAAGAGATAAAAATGTTTTACTTCATACAGATGAGACTAACAACTGACTAATAACAGTTTTAGCAGAGAGTGATTTTATTTGGCACTTGAACTAAGAAAGGGCTAAAATAAGAAAGAGGAAAGAACATGTGCCCTTTCATATAATTTTCCTTTTAAAAAAGTGATGTGTGTGTGCATATGTGTGCAGATGTGTGTGCTTGTGTCTACAGTAGAGGCCAGAAGAGGGCATTGTGTGTCCTCCTCTATGATTATCTGAGGCAGAGTCTCTTCTCAGGGCTCCTGCTTTCTTAGGTAGGCCAGAAGCCAGCAGACCTCAGTGATCCTCCAGTCCCTCTTCCCTAGAGCTGAGCTTCAGGAGTTTTCTGGGAGAGTTGGCTTGTTACATGGGTGCTAGGACCCAAACTCAGGTCCTTATGATTGTAGACCAAGTACTTGTAACTACTGAGCAATCTCTCCTGTCACTTTCATACATTTTTCTAAAACCATTCCAATGGAAAAATGTTAGGAACAAACCACTGAGATCTTCTTAATCTTGTAGCAAATATAAATATCTCTTTATTGCTCCCATTCTTAGATATGTAATTGGAGATATAACTAAATGTATAAACTAAATGAAAACTTACAAAATTTAAAAAAAAAACCTTACAGGCATCATCTCAATATATTTGCCTCCATAATAGTTCTATTTATTTGTTTAAGTCACTATGGACCTAGCTTCATAATTAATCTCGCTGGAGTTACCTAAATGCTGGAAACTCAATATCAAGGTTTTTTGTGTTGTTCAGCTGGCCAGTATAGTAGATTGAATGAACATAAAAATTAACTGTAGAGAAAGCCTATGGGCTTGGAGGCAAGGGAAAAAAAAGGTCACTGTATCTTACCTACACAATCATACCGGCGACTGACATATTTCAATTCAAAACCAATGTGACATTTGCAGTAGTAGCTTCCAAACGTGTTCACACATCTTCGATTGTAAGGGCAGACTGCTTTCTTAGAAGCACATTCATCTATATCTAAGGAATAGGAGTAGAAGCTGTCAGTGATTGCAGGAAGAGTACTCCAACACATGCACATGCACAGGTACTCACCTTACCACCTAGCACACAATGCTCAAGCACACGCAGTCTCCTTGCCTAGAAAATGGATTATCTGGTGCCTACGTCACATCTTCAGGAAGTATTTTAGATCTTTACCAGGCACATGCACAGCTCTACAGGTTCATATCACTATGCCTATCTTTTCTTGGAGGTGTTTCCTGGCTATAATGCCATCATTTATATTCACTCCACAAGATGTGTATCCTAGGTTGCTCCAGACTGGCTATGTAGCCAAGGGTGACCTTTAACTCCTCATCCTCCTGCCTCCATCTTCCCAGGCTGGGATCAGATGTGTGTGCCACCATGCTTTATTTATGCATTGCTGGGGATGGAACACAGGGCTTCATGCATGCTACACAAGCACCCTATGAACTGAATTACATCCCCACTCCTTATATCTCTGCTCATTTGTTAGACCCCAGCTCTTCTAGGGCTATGTGTCTGGCATGTGGTACCTATGCTTTACATGTGTTCTGAGTGAATATTTTTCTCTAGTTACTAATTTGTTTTGTTTTGAGACAGGGTTTCTCCGTGTAACAGCTCTGGCTGTCGTGGAAGTCACTCTGTAGACCAGGCTGGCATCGAACTCACAGAGAACCATCTGCCTCTGTCTCCTAAGTGCTGAGATTAAAGGCATGCACTGCCACCTGGCTACTAATTATATTGTATGGCATACAATTTTTGAAAGTTAAGTCAGCCACATTTTGAGCAAACCAAAATGTACAAGCATTTAAGATTTGCATTTTGCAAAAGCATTAAACAACTCATTCTAAGCTCCTGTAATATTGACTCAAATCACAAAAAATATAGTTGTGTAGAAATGCACTACTGCCTAAAGTTGTAGGTTGAGTATAACTGTTTAACAATGCAATTTTAACCAACTATAGGCATGTTTCTTTTCTCCCAAGTGAGTGATGTCTTACAGGGGGCTGACTGCTATGCTGAGCAATCCCATATGTCTCAGGCATTGCTCTAACTTCCAGATACAAAGTAGGTTGGATCTTGGTTTAAGTATGCACATTGATGCTGGTTTATTGTTTCCATTGCACAGCTGCCCCCAATCCCATGAGTGTATGCTGGGAATCAACATGGGGACAACATGATGAAGGCAAGTACTTCATCAACTGAGCTATTCTGCTGCATTCTTAAAATAAGTACTGAGTTAAGCAAAGTTATTGTTCATTGATCTTTTTCCTAAGCATTAGCTCTCCCTTTCAATTAAAATGGCACCCAATCAATTAAGAAGGTAGGCAAAAACATTTGAATTTAGTTTGATCATGACTTAGTCATAGCTGAGTGGTGGTGGCGCATGCCTTTAATCCCAACACTTGGGAGGCAGAGGCACGCAGATCTCTGTGAGTTCGAGGCCAGTCTGGTCTACAGAGTGAGATCCAGTATAGGCACCAAAACTACACTGAGAAACCCTGACTCAAAAAACAAAACAAAACAACAACAACAAAAGACAGTCATATCAGGTAAATTTTACACTAAAAGATACTAAGCTCTGTGACTCTAATTAAATCTTTTATCACTCTCAAAAGGAAGACAGAAGCCAGGGATGGGGAATGGAGAGGTGGCGCACACCTTTAATCCCAACACTTGGGAGGCAAGAGGATCTCTGTGAGTTTGAGGCCAGCTTGGCCTACAGACAGAATTCCAGGACAGCCAGGGCTACACAGAGAAACCCTGTCTTGAAAAACAAACAAAAACAAACAACTGAAAACAAAAACAAATAGTTTAATATACATACATGTTTTAAAAAAGTGCTACCCTGGCCTATATGGCTGAGCTTACTTTATACACAAAATCCATCAAATTATATACATTTAGAATAAATAAACATGCAGCATCCCGACTAAAAAAATTTTCTATTACATTGAAGAGGTATTACATCATATTTATATTTGCTTATTTAAATCAAAGAAGATGAACCTTTGTCAAAATTCTGGTCTCATTGGCTCTCCCTTATTGAGACTATGTGTTCACCCAACCTAAATGTTATGTGTATTTGGTGGAATATGATTATTAGGAATATATACAATTAGGTGATTAAACATAATCCAAATTCACAAAGGTAACCAAGATGCAAAAATGGATGAAATGGTGCTTCAGCTACCTAGGGTGCCCTGCCACTCAGCCCTCAAAGTATCCATAGCTGCCATAAGCTCCATACTAGGTTTGCTCCTGGGCCCGAGTGGGAGGACTAGGGAGTTTCACCCTGGAGCAGCCTCCGAAGAGTTAAGAGCAGGGATTGATGGAGAGATTAAAACAAAGCAAAACAAAACAAAACCTTTCCCGAGAGGGAAAACCAAGAGACAGTTTTCCTCAGAGTTGTGGTTTGAATGTGAAAAGGCTCATTCATTTCAGCACTTGGTCCTTGGTGATATTTGGAAAGATTGTGGGACTTTTAGGAGGAGTCGTCTTACTGGGGGAGGGGAGTGACTGGGGGCGGGCCTTGAATTCTGATAGCCAAGCCTCACTTCCAGTTCGTTCTCTGCTTCCTGCCTGTGGATGCAATGTGGCCAGCTGCCTGGCTCCATGCTCCTGTTGCCATGCCTTCTCCACTATGATATTCCATATCCTTTCAACTTATAAGTCAAAACAAGCCCTTCTTCCCTGAAGTTCCTTCTTGTCAAGCATTGGTCACTTCCTAAGTCCTCAAGCAGTGTTTCCTGGGATCACGTACTGAACCAACTCTTTGCTCAGCTTCTGTAGACCCACAGACTAAGATGTGCAATTAGCCAAAGGAGTGTAGAAGTTAAAGCTTTAGGTCACAGATTTTACTAAATTAACAGCTATAAATGGTTTATATGCTCCTTAATTGATAGTGATTTAATCTGCCCATTTTGTCTAGTCAGAAATAGCAATGAAATCATATTTTTATTTTTTTGAGATACGGTCTCATTATGTATTTCTGGCTGGCTTGGAACTCACTATGTAGACCAGGCTGGCCTTGAACTCACAGAAATCTGCTTGCTGCTGCATACCATGTGCTGGGTAGTTTGTATAATTTAAAGCCAGGTTTATTTTGAAACAGAGTCTTATGTAATCCAGACTAGCCTTGAATTTGCAGAGGATGACCTCTGATCTTCCTTCCTGCCATCATCTGTCGACTGTTGTGGTTACAGCTGTACTCTACCACCCCTGGTTTATATGGTGGTTCGAATTGAACCCAAGGCTTTGTCCACGCTTGGCAAGCACTCAACCAACTGAGCTACAGCCCCACCCCCTAGGGCAGGTTTTAAAGAGAATGCGAAAAAAGTGTTTAAAAAAGTGAACTAAACACATTATAGGAGGCATATATTATTTTCACTAAATTAATGCTGAAGATAAAAAAGTAAATACATGTTTTCCAGGAAAATGATAGATTGAACCAAATCCCAACAGCTCATAAGGTCTGACTCATTGAAGGAGTGGTGGCATGTCAGTCTCATGGTAATTGGAGTCGACTATACAGTGTCAATACAGTAAACAAAAAGAACCTTTATGCCATATCCATTAGGCAGAATAGACTACTCGAAGATTGTTTTCCATTATATCCCTAAGTATGCAGAGAGCACAAGTGACTGAAGATATTTCATAAATAGACAGAGAGCAGTACTTTGAAGAATTCACCACATATATTCAGCACAAACCTTGTAATGAATGAAAATGGAGTTCAGTGGAGGGGGAATGGAGGGGAATGGAGAGGAATGGAGTTATGCTTTCTCTTTTACCTAGGCACACTCTTCCATTTGGGCCCAGGCGGAGGCCAGAGGATGGGCACACACACCGAGGCCCTTCCTCTGTTTCTTCGCAGCTGTACTGGCAGTTTATCCTGGCACATGTCCTAGAGTCTGCAAAAGTAGACAAAGATTAACTAAGAAAGTCTCTCCCAATTCTGAGATGTGAAATGTAATATGCCTTAGGACAGGCTTCATGGTCTGAGTCCCCAAAGGGAACCCACAAGGAATCTGAGCAGGTGTGTTGTCATGGTGGCTCCTGGGATAAATCTCACTCGTAGTTTGTTCTGTTGACCAATACATTGCACTTGACTATCTCTAGGGAAAACATACAGCTCTGACTATACCCCCAACCCCCATCTCTTTTAAATTGAGACATCATCTTATGTTTTTCAGACTGGTCTTGAACTCACTTTAGCCTTAAAACTTTTTTTAAAATAATATTTTAGTGATTATTTGGGAATTTCACATCATGCATCCTGATTACACTCACTTCCCAGTTCTCCCAGGTCCTCCCCCATATCCTTGTGACCTCCCCAATCAAAAAAACAAGAAGAAGGAGGAGGAGGAGGAGAGGAGGAGGAGGAGGAGAAGGAAGAGGAGGAGAGGAGGAGGAGAAGAAGAAGAAGAGGAGGAGGAGGAGGAAGAAGAGACAAAACAAAAACAAAACAAGAGTCCAATCTGTGTTGCCGATATACTCACTGGAGCATGGCCAAACTCCCATGGCTATCCCTTTCAAGAAAACTGAGTCCTTCTCTTCCTACACCCCTGCCAGAAGCCATCAATTGTGGAGCGCTAGCTACACTTCCTCATCCTTATCATAATTTTTTGTTTGTTTGTTTTTTCGAGACAGGGGTTCTCCGTGTAACAGCCCTGGCTGTCTTGGAACTCTCTCTGTAGACCAGGCTGGCCTCGAACTCAGAGATCCACCTGCCTCTTTCTCTCCAGCACTGGGATTAAAGTCATGCGCCACCACTGTCTGGCTCCTTATCACAATTTTTAACAGTCCTCTTTGATGGCTTTCTGTCCAGGCTGTTACTTTCTTTGGGTGGGTGGAGATGGGGTGGGGTGGGGTAGGGGTTGCTAAAGAAGCCTTCTATGTCTCTCTTTCTCAGCTGTGAGTCTGCAGTCATCGATATCACTACAAAAGTAGCTTCCTTGCACTATGCAGTTAGTGGGAACATGGGTCATGGACTTCTTCTACATGGTTTCTGGCAACAGTGTGGACCACAGACATCCACATGGTCTCCTGCAACAGCACATGCCATGAATGTTGGCATGGTTTCCTGTGGCAGTGTAGACCATGGACATCAACACAGTCCTCTGCCGTAGCACTGGCCACAGACACCATCATAGCCCTGGTCGTCAGCACAGGTCAAGGACATCAACATGGCCTCAGGTGGCAGCGTAGCCTTAAAACTTCTGATTCTCGCCGGGTGGCGGTGGCACATGCCTTTAATCCTAGCACTCGGGAGGCAGAGGCAGGCGGATCTCTGAGTTCAAGGCCAGCCTGGTCTACAGAGCGAGATCCAGGACAGGCACTAAAACTACACAGAGAAACCCTGTCTCAAAAAACAAAAACAAAACCAAAAACAAAGCCCTTCTGATTCTCCATTTCCAAAATGCTGGACTAACAGGCATTTGACAGCACACCTGGTTCATGCAGCACCGAGGATTGAACCCAGAGGTCTGTATAAGCTAGGTGAGCATGATACCAACTGAACACCATCCTCAGCCCTTCTCTCTCCTCTTATATGTACTCAGATCATTATGTCACTTGGCTAGTCGCTGGAGGATAAAAAGTAACTGCTGGTATAGATTATCAATGAAAACAGTTAAAGAACTTGCCAAATCTTCGCACAAATGTGTAGACTCATTGAGAGTCACTCAGGCCACAAGACTTGGTGTTTCAGGAACCTGTAGTAATGTGGCAGACACAGATGGTCAGCTCCATGAGAGTTATTCTGGCACCCTTTTTCCTTGTCATTTTCACCATGGTGAACATGTGTATCTGAGAAGCCGGATACTTGCCTGGCTTCCCTTGCAGCAAAGAGTGGCTATGTGTTTCAGTGTAGCCAAAGGAAAATAAAGAGAAGTCTCCTGGAGGGACTGCAGATGTAGTTCAGTTGTTCGAGAGCTTGCCTAGCATGCACAATGCACTGGGTTTGATCCCTAGCACCATATTACACCAGGCATGGTAGCCCATGCTTGTAATTCCAGCACTTCTGGGAAGTGGAAGAAGGAGAATCAGAGGTTCAAGGTTATTCTGGCTATCTAGGGAGTTAGAGGTAAACCTAGGGTACATGAAATCCTGTTTCAAACAAGCAAACAAATATAAAAAGATAAATCTGTTGGAAAAGATGATGCAAAGGACTGAATGATAAGAAGGACAGGCATGAAAGAAGAGCTGGCTCATTGGTGTCACCTCTATCCCCTTTGTTTTGCCTACCTTTAATGTAGACATGACATCTGGAGCTGAAGCAGCCATATGTTCATTGTGAGGCCACAGATATGAGAAGAAAATCACTCGAGGACAGTGGAGACTAAGTCTTTATTAAGAGTCTCCAAAACTGGTTATCTTCAGCATTTTTAATAAATGACAGTTTAGTTGGAATTTTGTCACTTTTTGCTTAGCATAACCTATTTCACAAAAATGTACTTACTTAGCAGAAGTTCAGTGTATATGGATCCTTAATGCATGGGGGCTTAAAAAACCCCACCATATGCATGTGGACATGTGAAAGTTCACGGTGTGTGTGTGTGTGTGTGTGTGTGTGTGTGTGTGTGTGTGTGTGTGTGTGTGTGTTTGTTTACATGTGTGAGTGCAGGTATGTGTGTGTGTCTCAATATGTGTGTGGAGGCCAGGACAACTGTGGGTGTTAGGCCACACTTTCCAATGCTGTTGGTTAAGATAGGGTCCCTGTTGTTTTTCTACTGTGTGCTCCAGGCTAGCTTGCCTGGAAACCTTCAGAGATTTTCTGTTTCTGCCTCACATTTTTCTGCAGTGTCGATGGGATTACGGGCCCTTGTGCTATTTTTTTTTTTAACAAGCATTCTGGGGATTTGAACTCAGGTCCTCATGCTGATAGGTCAAGTGCTTTTACCTCCTGATCCATCTCCCAGTCCCCTCAAAATCTCTTATATTCCCAGACCAGTGAGCACAGTCATGATTTTGGTAAGTATACTCCATTCATCTATAAAATGCTAGTCAACCAGAAGGACCAAAGACAGTGCAATGGGCCAGGAGGAATAAAATAAGCACTCAGGAAAGAGACCAAGGACTATGCTTTAAGCTCTAAATGGAGAGTCACAGATAACCCCTATAGGGAAAGAAAGAAAGAGTGTACAGGGATGGAGAGCTAAAGTAAGGAAACAAACACCTACTGATGATTATATTACTCATTTCTTCTCTTTGGCTATCTGTTTTGAAACTTAATCATCAAAATTAACATAGCTATCTTTCCATTTGGGGAAAGATATCTCTTTTGGCACTGAACGAACTCTCCTGGAATGTTTCAGAATCATCCATTAGCATCGATCTTTTAAAAAAGTCTGAAGTGATCTCTGTAAAAGCCTAGATAATGGTCCTCTTTGGGGAGGCATAGGAGAAGGAAGTTCTGGCCAAGTTCTAGTTGGTGGTAGTCACAAGGGTGCTGTACAAGAATTCATTAAGCTATCAGATTGTTTCGTGGGGGTTTCTGTTTAATTTATAAGAGGAAGGATATTTGAAAAAGACACTGCAAATGTCTGTGTTATCTCTTAGGCTAGTTTGCTAAGGGAGGATCTGAGTAAAGGGCAATGAAGGGCCAGGACAAAGAGGAGCCAGGGGCACTAGGCAAGACTAGATGAGATGACTTTAGAAAGCCTGGGATGGGCTGGGAGTCTGCTTGACTGCAACCCTAGGAAGCTGGCTGAAGGCAGCAGGCTTGTGTTCGCTGGGGGCCACCGGGCAGAAGAAAATGAGATGGCAAGAGAGGAGGGAAGTCAGGTATGGCAGGCGGGTTTGCCTTTCAGCTGCAATATCAAACTTAAAAAGCCTCTCCTCTCAAGAAATGAATGGATGGAGACTCCCACTCTCCCACAGGACACGGGTTTCGTTATCACAGGAGAGCTTTTCTTTTCAGGAATGTGAGTCAGAATGCATTTCCAATGAGACACTCTAATCTCTGGGAGTCGGGCAAGGGGCGTGAGAAAGGTAGCTGGTGGGAAGGATTGATGGCCTGGGATGGTGTGGAAACTTATCAACTCCCTTTGCTCACCATGCCTAGTTTCCTGATGAAATTCAACTAGTTTCCACACGTATAGATAGAGATATATAATTGATTTCCCACTTTTTTCATTTATAAATGAGTGTCTAGAAGAAACAAATCCATAGACAGAAAGCAGATTGGTAGTTGCTGAGGAATGCTAATGGTTAGGGTTTCTCCCTTTAGTATGATTTAAATTTTATTTGTTAATATAGTGTGTGTGTGTGTGTGTGTGTGTGTGTGTGTGTGTGTGTGTGTGTACACATGGGTGCACGCGCGTGCACGAGCTTTCGAGTGTATGGTTACATGAGTGCTATAGCACACATATGGAGGTCAGAGAACAATTTTCAGAAGTCGATTCTTGCCTTCCACCTTGTTGAGCCATGGTCTCTCTTGTTACCTCTGTTGCTACACCCTGTACGCCATGAACTTCCTGCCAGTTCTTCTGTTGCCACTTCCCATCTTAAAGTAAGCGTACTGGGAATTATATATGGGAGCCAGGCTTTTAATGGGTTCCAGGCATCAAACTCAGGTGTCATTAGGCTTGCATGGCAAGTACTCTTATCCACTGGGCCACTTTGCCGGCTCAATGGTTGGGCTTTCTTTTGGAGTGATGAACTTGTTGATTTGTCCACTTTTGAGTGGTTAAAATGGTGAATTTCATGTTATGTACATTTTACAATAATTTAAAGAAGTAAGTACCCAAAGATGTTTTAGCCTATGGTGATGTTAAAGACCTTTATTTTGGGGGCAGTATCTCATGTGTCCCCACGTTGACTTCCAACTTGATTTATAACTCAGGTTGACTTTGAACTAACTTCTTATCCTTCTGCGATTACAGGCATGGACTACCATGCCATGCTTATGTGGCACTGGGGATCAAACCCAGGGATTTGTACATGCTAGGCAAGCACTTTACCAAACTGAGCCATAGCCTCAACCCTAGACATGTTTTGTTTTGTCTTGAGAACTGTTTCATTATGTAGTCTTGTCTGGCCTGGGAGTCACTGTGTAGATGAGACTGGCCTCAAACTCACAGAGATCTGCTTGCCTCTGCCTCTTGAGTGCTGGGATTAAAGGTGTGCATCACCACACCAGGATGATCCTAGATATGTTTTAAAACGTTGCCCACGTCCTTCCTCATGCACCACATACCAAAATGCAAGCCTTTAGTATTGAGTGGCTGCTGAAACTTACTTGAACATGTGGCGTCTGGTAGAAGCATGTGGCCACCGAGGCAAAAGCATTTGTAGCTGCCGTGTGTATTCACACACCTGTGCTGGCACGGCCGGGGCTTGACTCCACATTCATTCACATCTGCAGGGCCAGTCAGAAAAGGGAGAAACGTTAACAGAATCAGAAAACATCTATGTGGGAGAGACTAGATGCCAATTTTTGGAAGGACAAAGGCTCACTACTTATGTCCTTTCAAACTGTCAAATGTTTGTCCACTTGGAAAGATTGGTGAGGATGTGGAGCAAATAGGACAACCATTGACCATTGGAGGGAATGGAAATTACTACAGGTACTTTGGAAAACTGAAGTTAGAAATAGACCTACCAATGAGCTAGCAGTTCCAGTAATGGGTATATTCCTAATAGAAATGCCAGTTGTCCTTTCACACCACACACACAAAACATACACTAAAAAGATCATAATAGCATTTGTGTTAGTTGCAGTGATTCAAATACACCTCAGCAGGATAGATATATGATGAGTATGTTGTACAGCAGTTAAGCAGAAAAAATTACAACTATAGGCAACAAAGATGGTTTTCACAAACAGATAATGAGTAGAATAAGCTGGGTACACCCGTTGCATACATACTGTGATAGATGAAGTAAAGTCTATCTATCTATCTATCTATCTATCTATCTATCTATCTATCTATCATCTGTCTATCTATCTATCTATCTATCTATCTATCTATCTATCTATCTATCTATCCAGCCTCACATTATAGCCCAGGCTGGCTTTGAGCTTGAGGCAGCCCTCATGCTTCATCCTCTCCAGTGCTAATGATCACAAGCAAAAGCCACCCACCATCCACGGCTATGCTTTTCTGGTTGATGGAAGAAATGCTCCGACGTGTGGGAGGCAGGAACTGTTGAGTTTCTGTTTTTTTTTAATTCTGGGTTCCAATTAGAAAGGTATTGTGACAATTTATCAAGTTGTATTTTTTTATTAAAACATTTCATTTATTATTATTATTTGTGTGTGTGTGTGTGTGTGTGTGTGTGTGTGTGTGTGTGTGTGTGTGTGTGATATGTATGTAAGACTGTGAGCACATGGATGCCTGGTGTATGTGTGGAGGTCAGAGGACAACTATCAAGTGTCAGTTTTTCCCTGATGTGGGTCCCAGGGATCAAACTCAGGTTGTCAGGCTTGTACCTAATGAGCCATCTGACTGGCCCAAGTTATACATTTCTAATACGTGCACAATTCTATATGATGCTACTTAAATAAAGAGTTAGAAACATAAAATCTGAGGATTTCTGTCTTTACTGCTTCCGAAACAGCCAGTGACAACATTGTTGTGATTTTGGGTGACTCCAGACCTACACTCATTGTCTCAGCTCAGACCATTGTGGAGATAACCCTGACAGGCAGTTGGTAGTGAGGTTGCAGCATATTTAATTGCATGTGAAGGTGCACAAGGGGTGTTTACAAAGTTATGTGTACAGATCAATCATAAATAAATAGACAACAAAACAGAAATGTACATGGAATAAAAGCCTGGAGTGAACAGCTCTCAACATTAGCCATGGTCGTAGTTAATTGGTATGTTCAAGGGTGTCTTTTTTCCCCTGCATTTCTTAGTGTATTTTGGTAAAAAAAATTAAATGTTAAGAATAAATAACATTTCTTTTAAAATAAGAAATGATAAAGGAGATGGGTTAGGGGTGTAGCTCAGTTGGAAGTATGCTCACCTAGTATGTGCAAAGCCCTGAGTTCAATACCTACTGCCACAAAATCCAGGCATGGTGGTGCATGTCTGTAATCTCGGCATTTGGGAGGCAGATGGGGTGGGAATCAGGAGTTCAAGGTCATCCTTAGCCTGGGATATATGAGACCCTGTCTCAAAAAGGAAAAAAAGGTACAGGAGAAAAAAAATGTTAAAAGATATTGTGATAAAAGGATCTATCGTGTCTTTGGAAATCTGATTGTGGAGAAGGACTCATAGTGTAACTCCCCTAAGGTAGATATAGAAAGGAGAAAGGCACCAAATTCCATAGAAGAGAAGACAATTCTGAATGGCAGAAAGCAGAATGTGCCATTGCAAAGTCAAACAGGAGCTCTTCCTGCCTCTGGAAAGTTCTGTGGATGCAGGTTTTCTAACACCTGAAGCTTCCTTCTCCATTGCTTGTCTCCTTGACCCCACCATCCTACTTACACACTCTAACCACTTTATTGTTTTTTAAAACTTTTATTCATTTTATTTTGCACAGATGTGTGTGTGTGTGTGTGTGTGTGTGTGTGTGTGTGTGTGTGTGTGTGTGTACGCGCGCGAGCCAACTTCACCCTCTTCTTAAGAGGAGAATTGAAATACGTTGACTGGACATGATGGAAAACCCAGTGTATCCCATCACTTGGCTTTAAGCCAGTGGTGCTAACTCATGTCTTAGAAAGAGGATTTCTGGGAAACACATTAGTTGAGGCCTGAGGCTTGTTGCCATGAGTGGTCTTTGATCAGGCTTCCATGAGGCAGAGAGGCTGTAGAGGGAACAGAGACAACCTCAGAACGTGAGCCAACTGGACCACTCTCTCAATGTTAATATTTTACTAGAACTTGAGAACTAGAATGAGAAATAGGTCTTTTAGTCCAAAGGGTTCCAGAAAGGATCCACGGAAAAACCAGCACCTGGTACAAAAGATCTAATAAGAGATCTCACTGATGAACCTGTGCTTCTCAGTGTTTGATGTGTGTGCATGCTTGTGTGGGTTTGGGCTTATGAGTATGAATGAGGAGGCCAGGTGCCGTTCCTAGGTTTTTGGAGATAGAAAGAGAGAGCTCACCTATTAGGTTAGGCTGGCTGGCCAGTGAGCCCCAGATTATGGTTCTTTATCACTATGCTCAGCTCTTTTTGTATGTGGGTGCTTGGATCTGCACTCTTAACTGCTTAGCCATCTTTATGGCCTTCTGGAGGTTTCTCATGAGAACAGTTAAATGTGATTTGCTGGTTGTGCTCAACCTTATCTCAGGGCTAGGAGCACTTTCTTGTGGCCTACTTTCTGCAAGAGTTGCTGAACCTCTCTTGACATTTGAGTCCAGATCATTCCTTTAGGTGGGGGCTGGTCTGTCTTGTGGGTGTTTAGGAAAAGGGATGGGATTTGTTTAGTAGATACCACTAGCAACTCCTTCCCTAGCTGTGACAACTCAAACTGTGTCCAGAAATCGCCAGATGTCCGCTGAATGAAAAACTACTCTAGCTGAAATTTCTAGTCTACAGCCAAGACCAAGGGGGGCTCTTTTTCCCACCAAAATGCTTTTGTTCATGTGTTTGTTTGTTCATTTTGAGACAGGATCTCTTGTATCCCAGGAACCTGCTATGTAGCCAAGGATGAATCTTTAATCCTCTTGCTTTTACTGTCCAAGTACTAGGATCGCAGAAATTTGCCATCACACCCTGTTTATTCCATATTGGAGATCAAACCCAAGGTGTTGTGCATGCCAGATAAATACTCTACCAACTGAGCTCCAGAATTCAGGGGTGGTTTTTGTTCACTATAATTCCTACAGTCTCTCTGCATCAACATTTATTGCCATTTGGATCAAGCTATTTTTGTTGGTACAGGGCACTTCTGGGCACTGTAGAGTGTTGTGGTGGTTTGAATAGGAATGGCCCGCAAAGGTTCATATATTTGAATGCTTAGTCATTAGGAAGTAGCACTATTAGGAGGTGTGTCCTTGTTGGGGTAGGTGTGTGTGTCCTTGTTGGAGGAAGTGTGTCACTGAGAGTGGGCTTTGGGGTTTCAGAAGGCCAAGCCAGGCCCAGTGGCACTCTCTCTTCCTGTTGCCTGTGGATCCAAATGTAGACCTCTCAGCTACTACTCCAGCACCATGTCTGCCTGCATGCCACCATGCTTCCCACCATGATAATAATGGTCTAAACCTCTGAAACAGCAAGCCAGCCCTAATTAAATGTTTTCCTTTATAAGAGTTGTGTGGTCCTGGTGTTTCTTTACAGCAATGGAAACCCTAAGACAGATATTTAGCCAGTAGATGCCAGAAATACCTCCTCCAAGTGTCTTTCTTTCTTTCTTTCTTTTTTTTTTTTTTTTGGTTTTTTGAGACAAGGTTTCTCTGTGTAGCTTTACACCTTTCCTACAACTCACTTGGTAGCCCAGGCTGGCCTCAAACTCACAGAGATCCGCCTGCCTCTGCCTCCCGGGTGCTGGGATTAAAGGCGCCAAGTGTCTTTCAATAGTGCCAGATATCCCCTGGGTATGGTTCCTGAGTTAGGCAACTAAAAATACAGGATTATCAGTTAAGTTTGATTTTTAGCTAAGTAACTAGTCTGTTTTATCATGCACACATCCCATACAATATTACTGCATAAACATACTATACAGTTATTGCTTATCTGAAAGGTATATGCAAATGGACCTTATATATTATCCGAAAACACTCTCTGGAGGACAGAGCTTTTGTTCTAGACTTTTCTTGTTTGTTTGAGACAGGGTCTCAGATAGCCCAGGCTGTTCTTAAGCACATAATAGAGGCTGGGATCAAACTCTTAAACTTCTTACCTCTACTTCCCATATGCTGGGATTATAGTCATGTGCCACCATACCTGGCCAGTGTTCTAGATATTAAATAAATCCTTAATTGGCATCAGATAAATAGCCTAAGACAAATAACATAAATTATCTTTTGAAATACATCTACTGCTGGGCTGCAGCTGTAGGTTAGTTGGTAAAGTGCTTGTCTGGCATGTACAAAGTCTTGGATTCCTTCACCAGCACCATATACACTGGGTGTGGTAGTCCACACATATAACCCAAACACCCAGAAGGTGGTGGCAGTAGAATCACAAGTTCAAGGTCCATCTTGGGCTACATAGCAAGCCTAGGGTATATAAGACTGTTTCAAAGCAAAGCAGACCAGTGTGGTGTCACATACCTTTAATCCCATTACCCAGGAGGCAGAAGCAGGCAGATCTCTGTGAGTTGAAGACCAGCCTGTTTTATAGAGTGACATCTAGAACAGCTAGAGGTACATAGTAAGATCCTGTCTCAAAAACAAAATCAAAACTTCTCAGAAATGTATATATTGGGGTAAAAATATGCACACTATTCAACAATTCAATTTTTAGATATTTCTCTCACAAAAAACAGTCACTCCAGACTGAGAGGCTGTGAGTGGAAATGAGTAGAGTGTTCGATTTAGCATTGTTTGCAGTGGCAAGGGATTGGAGACAGGGTAAAAATGGCGATGGTAAGAAAGCATTTGCTTCATAAATGATAAATACCTTCATACTAAGGACTGGGATATGGCCTTAAGAAGTTTGAACACTGTGCATACTGACAGATAAGGACACCCAGGAGAAATACTGATGCCTGTAGGGTCATGGAAAAGGCCTCTGAAGATCTAGAGCAAACTGTTAACTATGGTTCTAGTAAGGGTTTGGGGTAGAGCCTTTCCCTGGCCCCCTCAACTGGGTCTCATGTATCCCAGGCTGGCTAGAAATTGATATGTAGCCAAAGATGACCTTGAACTTTTCTGATCTTCCTGTCTCCACCTCTCAAGTGCTAGGGCTACAAGTGTGCATTACCATGCCTGGTTTATGCAGTGCTGGGGATTGAACCCAAGGCTTTGTGCATGCTGGGCAGATACTCTACCAACTGAGTTCCATCACTGGCCCATCCTTTTTTATTTTTATAGTCTTATGAATTGTTGTCGCTTTTTAAAAATAAAGAATGTATATTACTCAGATAATCTTAAAAATAACAGTTCTTTTAAGCAAGGCTTTTTATTGCATAATTTGGAAAAATATCAGAAGTTTTGCACTTAATCAAGGAGAGATTGGCTGAAAACTCTCATCCTGAAACCATGTTGTGGTCAAGATTTGAGTAGCATCCTGTAAGAAATCCTCGTTGCTGTCTTTGCTCCCTAACCCGATTGTAATGGAGTTTGTCTCAGGATCCTGGTGTTGTACTGACCTTGACTGCAGGTCTTCCCGGTGTACCCTGGAAAGCATCTACATTTATTCGGTCCCACACATTCACCAAATTTGCATCTGGGCTCACATGTAGCTGTAAAAGGAAAAGAGATCCTGATGATATAGTTGACACAGTACTAATGTGCACAGGCAGATTGCCTTCTACACGGGAACGGACTGAGACTCTATCTCCTCTTGACTCTACTTTGACCTTTTCAACACTGGGCAGGGATTGCCTTTTGAACAAAACCAGCCCTCCCACACACCATGCAACAAACGACAATATATTGTACTCATTTGCTTAGTGTGGCCATGCTTCCAGTGCTATAAAGCTCCCCACTCCTGACCACACAGCCAATCACTTCTGCATGTCAGTCCAAAATATTAATAAAGAAAGAAGAGTATCTGAGAGAAAGACACATCGGAGTAACATGGGCAAGTTTCTTTCTGTAATTGTCTCTTCCCATCTCTTAAGTATTTCTCTATTTCCCCCCTCTCTCCCTCCCTCCCTCCCTCCCTCCCTCCCTCTCTCTCTCTCTCTCTCTCCCTCCCTCTCTCTGTGCAGATGTTCCCATATGTGTGGATGTGAGTACACATATATGTACTTTAACGTGAAAGCCAGAGGACAGCCTTTTATGTCATTCTTCAGTTGGCATCTACTTGTTTTAAAAAGCATTTACTTGTTCGTATTGGGGGGGCAGGGCATGCATGTGTCATGACACACATGGGGGGTGGTGTCAGAGGATAACCAGCAGCAGTTGGCTCTTTTCTTCTACCATGTGAGCCCTGGGGATCAACTTCAGGTTGTCAGACTTTGTGGCAAGGGCCTTTACCCAGTGAGTCATCTTGCTTCCATCCAAATCTTGTTTCCTGAGACAGAGTCTCTCACTGGCCTTAAGGGTCACAGACTAAGACAGGCTGTCCAGTGAGTCTCAGGGATCCAGATGACTCTGCCTCTACAGTGCCAGGATTGCAAACGTGCATCACTACACCTGGCTTATTTATTTATTTATTTATTTATTTATTTATTTATTTATTTATTTATTTATTCATTCATTTATTTATTTACGTGGATTCTGTGGATCAAACTTAGCCCCTCAGGTCTTTGTGACAAGCACTTTACTGACCGACCTATCGACCTCAGCACCACTTATTTTTCTTTGGAATGATCAAGATCTTTTGTTGCTGTTTTTGGTTTTGGTTTTTTGAGACAGGGTTTCCCTGTAGTTTTGGTGCCTTTCCTGGAACTCACTTGGTAGCCCAGGCTGGCCTCAAACTCACAGAGATCCGCCTGGCTCGGCCTCCCGAGTGCTGGGATTAAAAGTGTGTGCCCCCGCTGCCCGGCTGATCAAGATCTTTTTAGTGTTGTTTGTTATCAAATCTGAACGGCTCACTCTGATGGGCACTCAAAGCATGGTGATGATGGTGGTCATAGAGGCTTAACAAAGGCAGGGTTTGTTTTTCTGTTATCGACTTTTGTATCCTGGTACATGGCAAGAAGTAGGCATCTGATACATCTTTCTTCAGTGAAGAAAATGGTAGGCTAACACAAGAGGGCCAGAATGTTGTAAGTGAATTGAGGGCAAGGAAAAAAATGATCAAAGATGATGGCAAGTTTGAATCAGGCTCACGGAAAGGAGATGAGCAAAATGAGTGTGAGAACGGCCTGTTACTGTGTTCTCAGTGTCTTTGGGCAATCACTTAAAATTCATTTTTCTCCTGCAGCATTTTATATCATTTGTGAATGTGCTATGAGAAAATAGATTCATCACATGCATATATATGCCACACACACGAATATATCCTACATATGCAAATATATTGCAGTGCTAGGGGTGGAACCCAGAGCCTTGTGCATGTTAGTCCAATGGTCTACCACTGAGCTACATTCTTAGTCCTTGTTTTTGCTTTAGTTTTGAGACAGGGTCTCACAATGTAGCCTGGGCTGGCCTTGAACTCATGATCCTCTTACTTCTCCTTCTCTAGTGCTGGGATTAGAGATGTGTGCCACCATGCACAGAACACATATTTTCCAACAGTGAATAAATCAATAGACATAAATATTGTAACAGGGAAACATTTTGGTTCCAAACAAGTCATAACTAAGAAGGTAAGGAGAAGAAAAAAAAGCTTCCAAAGCAAAATTTTTCCACTTCTAGAGACTAAAGAGATGGAATTTAATTTTCAGTGTCTCCTTTGTTATGAGCATGGACTTGGTGATGCAGCTTTAAGTTCAGATGTTAGAAAAAGAAATCTTGGATTGTCTTTAAGTCCCAAAGACCTGTGATTGCTCCCTGGAAGCTGATTTCCAATGAATCCAGACAGGAAAGCCCAGAATGAATGCCAGATAGCACACAGGAGAAATGGTGAGTAATATCCTTGCTTTCTTTAAGGTCGAAGCTTTAGAAAGATGTTTTCAATTTACAGTGACTTTGGATCTGGGACCAGAACAGCCAATCCAGCGCAGGGAAATTCAGTTTGTGTCTAAAACAGCCTGAGGCTGAGACACACTTTGCACAAAGTCAAACTCTCATGCTCAGTTCTCCCCCAGACTCCTCCATCTGCAGTTTTTCATCCGGGATTTGTCCTTGGCCAGCACTTCATTCCATGTCACTAGAGTGACATATATTTTGAGGTTTATGATGCAGACTTGATCAGACTCCACCACTGAGAGATTTAGACAGGGGCAGAGGCCAAAGGCTGGGGGCGGGTGGGCTCCCATGTGCAGGTCATTGAGAGAAACAATGAACAGTAGATGGAAGAAAAGGCGTGTGTGGACTGGGACCTCCCAGCCAGGGTCTGGTATTACTTGCTGGGGCAGGTTGATGTGTGTTTTTCTTTCTGCATGGTCTGAACTCTGGTTTAGGAATAAGGAATCTGGCAAGAGGGGAGTGACTATCCTTGTTATTTCGTGCTTCTAGGAACATATGACCTTACCGACAAGAAGGAACACGCAAGGGCTAGGGATCTGGCTCTGTTAGGAGAGTGCTTGCTTAGAATGCAGAAAGCATTGTTGAGTTTGATCCGCAGCACTATATAAACTGGGCATGCTGGTGAGTGGCTGTAATCCTAGCACTCAAGCAGAAGGATCAGGAGTTCAAGGTCATCTTCAGCTATAGAAAGAGTTTGAGGCCAGCCTGGGCTACAGGAAACTCTGAAAAACTTCAATAAAATATGATATATATATTTAGATCTAAAAGTCATCCATTGCAAATTAAAGCCCAAATATTCAACAAAAACAACAGAGTGGCTAGCTATCATTTGCCTGAAACATCTGCATATTAAACATTTTTCTTAAGCTCTCCCACTGGATCTTTTAACTTTTTGCTTCCCATTCCTTCCTGCTTGTGACATATAGTCCACAAAATCATTGAGATTGTGATGGGCTGTGTATATGTGGCCAGACTACTCTGATCCAGTTGAAGAACAGCCCTTGCAGCAAGTTAAATCTCACTCTTACTTACTCGCCAGTGGTATGCTGGGTCTGACCGAGTTTTATGGCAGTAAGTGTTGAGGTTCGTGAGAGTGTAAGAAATTATAAGTCACATGTCTCAGGTGACTTTTACCTCTTTCCACATGACTGCCTTCAAAGAAGAATGTTTTATGCTGTTTCTATGCAAAGAACAAAGCTATGTTTAATGCTTCTATCACCTGGTACTTTGAAGGACAGAAGTGTGACAAGAGTCATTGCATTGTTTTCTGTGTGACAAGTAGTAAGTAGATGCTTTAGTGCCCCTACTCTGTACCTTCAGAGGAGTATTGCCCTCTCTATGTTCCAGAGGAGGAAACAGAGCCTTAATTAACTTCACTACCTTCTTCAAGTTCACCCACATCAGTCTAGTGTATGATGTCTTTGATCATAACACATTCCATCAGAGTGAGGACTGCTGCATGCTAAGCAAGCATTCTACCAACTGAGTGACATCTATCTGCCCTTTTAACTGACACAGGTCTCAGAGGGATGCTTTAATTTCCTTTAAGTGGATGAACAATGATGGTCTTCATTTTTCCTTAGCATCTCAACGTTCTGGTCATCTCATTATGAAGAAGCCCTGATGGCTAAAAGTTTTGAATAACAGGGAATGTGTGGAAACAGTATCCATGCCTTCTGTTGTTTCATGGATTTCAGATATTATCAAGTTCTGCCCTCCCCTAGTGTCAATCTAGATATTTTCAAATCTTGTATTATTCTTTGACAATTTTATACATGTATACAATGTATTTTGGTCATAGTCAATTTCCATTATAACTCTTCTTGTCCCCTTCCCACTTCCTCTGAACTCCCCTTTCTCCCCAACAAGTCCTCCTCCTATTTCCACACCTTTTACCTTTTTAGACCCTGTCATGATTTCAATAAGTATGGCCTCTACAGGCTCATAGATTTGAATGTTTACTCGTTAGGGAGTGGCACTGCTTTGAGAAGGACTAGGATGTATGGCCTTGCTGGGGTAGGTGTGGCCTTGTTGGAGGAAGTGTGTCACTAGGGGTGAACTGTGAGGTTTCAAAAGCCCAAGCCTGGCCCAGTGTCTCTCTTCCTGCTGCCTTTGGATCCAGATGTAGAACTCTCAGCTCCTTCTCTGGCACCATGACTGCCTGCATGTAGTCATGTCCCACCATGATAATAATGGACTAAACCTCTGAAACTGTAAGTCATTCCCAATTAAATGCTTTATTTTTATAAGAGTTGCCTTGGTCATGGTGTCTCTTCACAGCAATAGAACAGTGATTAAGACAGACCCACTGAGTGTAATTAGGGTGTTTGCATAGACATCAGTAGCTGTGGGACTATTAACTGGGGTACAGGGAACTTACCAGTGCCTACTCTACTAAAAAGTAATGATGACCACCACCCTAGCAGCTATTAATCTAGATATTTGGGGGCCAGTTAGAATGGAGGGGGTTGTGTCAGAGACAGGCCTATGAGAAGATAATATAGCTACTTCTAAAGTAACTAGCATTTTAATGAAACATTCAGGTATGTTATTACCTCATTTAACAGACCAAGAATTCATGATCAGGCATTTGAGACCAGATTTCTACCCTGAGGTAATGAACTCTATCCCAGACAATGTAACCAAATGCCTTGGAGAAATGCAGGTTTGATTGTTCTCTGTCACAAATATGGGTTACTATGGAAATCCACACAAAAATCAACACAGGTCAGAAATCTCTGTTCATCTCAGCTGTCAGAAATCGTCTGGAAATTATCAGAGGTCTCTCACATAAGCTCCTAACACGGAATATGAGAAATGATCTGGTTCCTTAGTTTGTAATCTGCACAAAATAATGCAAAAACAACACTTTTGCAAACATGCATGCATTTCTTGCCATTAGAAACTGCACTTAAGGAATTTAAAAATGCGAGTGGATGCCGGGCGGTGGTGGCGCACGCCTTTAATCCCAGCACTCGGGAGGCAGAGGCAGGCGGATCTCTGTGAGTTCGAGGCCAGCCTGGGCTAGAGAGTGAGTTCCAGGAGAGGCACAAAGCTACACAGAGAAACCCTGTCTCGAAAAACAAAAAACAAAAAACAAAAAAAAAAAAAATGCGAGTGCCATATCTATAAGGTATAAAGATCTCTATTCTACTTTGTAGCCAGAGACTACTTGACTATTAGCCTATGACTAATAATTAAAATGTGTATTTCACTAGAAATCTGTTGGAAAAACTATAATTAGGAGTTAATTGGTCTGGTTTTGACCATCTCAGTTTCTACAGATTAAATCAAATCAAAGCCAAAGCAAACCCCAGTTATACTTACTCAGATAGTAGCAGGAATAATAATGGATAAGAGAGTTTTCTAAAATAACTCCCATTCAGCATGGTAGTGTCAGCCATTCCAGATGGGACTTTGGGAATTGGTAGTTACCCACGTCCTTACCCCAGTTAATCCATTGGTAATGGTGTCACAGATTGAAAACTGACCCAATCACAGGACTGTCTGAATTTTTACAAAAATTACCTTCACAGAGTCCCTTGCTGTTCCTTTTCCAGCCATAGCAGCAGGCTATCTTAGTTCCATAGCGACAGAGGCCAGGCTGGCGTGCCAGTGCTGGCAGCCCGTAATCCCCTGGACTGTGGATAAAGAACCAGATGTTACCATCGAGAAAATAGAGAGAGCCACAGAGACTCTTCCTTGTCACAGGAGCAGCAGGAAAGATGCCAAGAATCTCTGTGATTTCCACAGACCTAAAGGAAGTGCTAGAATCCGCAGGGGGAAAAAAATCTGAATTTGGGAGTTGGCAGCCTCTGCCTTCTGTCCCTTGCCAACTTCTCTCTAGTTTTGTCCATTCCCTTTTTCGCCTTTTTGGCCTAGGGTTAAAGAAATTGGTTACAGAATCTATACAGGTAGAGTGCATGAAAGTGACCAAAACATGGACATTTCTGAAACTGGTAGAATGCCACTTCTCCAGTCTGTTTTGAATGGGCACAGTAGCTTTCCGGTTCTGACTTTGTATCAATGACTCACTGGCTAAGTGGCTTTGGCTCAGACAAGAGCTCTGCACTTTTTCTTCATGGACCACCTGGGAGTCATCGAACAGCCTGGAATCACCATATACTATGGACGGTTAAGAGTGGGAGACTATTCTGCTAAGTCATCTCAGGTTTCAGAGGAGGGGATTCCAACAGCATGCAGTGGAGACATGTCCCCAAGCAGAGCCAGGTGCTGGGTATTTAAACTTGCTGTGCTTCAGAACAGCCTTGTGGAAACACAATTTGCTAAACTCTTAACCATTGAGCAAGAATAGCAAACATTTTCTCAAAGGGACTCGAGGTAAATGTTTCAGGCTTTGCAGGCCATAGGTTTCTGTCTATGTGCAAAAGCAGCCATAGGCAATAGGAAACAGATGGGTGTGATTGTTCCAATAGTTCTTTATTTCTGGGGTTGGGAAGCTTGCTAAGTCAGCAAAGTGTTTCATGTATCCCAGGCTGGCCTTAAATTTGCTATGTAACCAAGGTGGACCTTGAACTTTGAATCTTCCTGCTTCCTCCTTCCTAGCACTGAGATTACAGATGTGCACTACCATTTCTGGTTTTGGTTTGTGTTGTCGAGGATCAAACTCTGGGCTTTCTGGGTGTCAGGTGAACATTCTTTAAACTGAACTGAATCCACATCCCTAAACATAGAATTCTTTTATCCCATCATCAACCATGTGGAAATGTTAAAACTGGTTTGGGCTCATTTGTTGTATAAAAATGGGGCCACCTTAGTTTGTGGGTTGTAGCTTGCTGACCCCTGATCTGAAAAGTGAGTTCCTGCCTCCCTGGAAGAGCCCTAAGTGACACTCCCAGGTAGGAAGCTCCTGGTCTGTTTTCCGGCTTGATGCCTTGGGGTTGGACAGGACTGCTACCAGACTAGAAGAAAAGCCATAAAACTTAAGGAGGGCTGCATTTGATATTCCTCATGCATATGAAATACAATGTCAAACCATTTCTTGAGCTCTTTAACAGATAAGCGATGCACATTTTACCAGGTACAGGATTGAATATATGCTAATTTGTAGTATCTTAGTCCAAGTCAGACAGTTAAACAAACTTGTTCGCTTCTCTCATGATCTGCCTTTCCTACATACGTCATTTACCAGAGATTAAAAAGGTGGTGTGTGGGACATCTCATTCACCAAGAGCACAAAATGTGAGAGAAAATAAAGTTCTGCAAGAGAACCCTCCCCCCCATTTTTAAACACTTCATTTATGTTTATTTTATGTGCATTGGTGTTTTGCCTGAATGTATTTCTGTGTGGGGTGTCAAATTCCCTGGAACATGAGTTGTAGATAGTTGTGAGCTACCATGTGGGTGCTGGGAATTGATTCTGGGTTCACTGGAAGAGCAGCCAGTGCTCTTAACTGCTGCACCATCTCTCCAGCTCCCAACCTTTTCATTTTTAATAGAAATTTACTCAACTACTTAGAGCAGGGTTTCTCAACCTCTATATTACTGATATGTAGGCTGAATGACGCTTTGGTTTTTTTGTTGTGGGGGCTATTTAGTAGCATCCATGGTTGCTGTCTATAGTTGTCAATAGCATGTATCCCCCAAGTTGTGACAATCAAAAAACATCTCTCACTTAGTTGAGTGTGGTGGTGAACACCTATAATTCTAGCAATCCTATAACACCCATAATCCTCTGGAGTGGGAGACAAGAGAATTACAGGCCAGAAAGATATACACAGCAAGTTCCAAGCTGGTTAGGGTCATATAGCAAGATGCTGTCTTAAAAACAAAAGTGACATTTGCCAAAAATCCCCCACAAGGCAGAACTGTCTTCTATTAAGTACCATTATTTTAAAGTGAAACATTTGTTGAGCTTTTTCTGTGTTCCAAGCTCATACTTGGCCACATGGATGGAGCAGAGGACAAGAAAGAGCCAGCCTTTGATTTTTAGTTCATAATCTATGGCAAACAGATGCACTAGAGTATAGAACAGCTTGGTAGCTACCATTAAAATGCTTCGAGAAAGGGCTGTTTTCAGCGCTCAGTACTGAACACAAGTTAGTGCCGGCTAGGCGAGTGCTCCACCACTGCATCCCCAGACCTGAGAAAGAGCTTTGACTGAGAAATACTGCAACTATGCGTCCTAATCAAATCTAATCAAATCTGTGTCTTGCTGACGATTCTGCAAGGGGTGGTTACCTTGCTCTTGACCCACACCGTAACTAACAACGATCAAGGAAGACACTGTAGACTACTGAACACAAAGTGTGTGGAGTAAAAAGCTGTTACTCCATACATGATGTCCTGAAACAGTTTTGATTTTAGCATTTAAAAAATTGAGATATGATTCATAAAATACAAAATACATTTCAATGTACATGCTTCCAGCCAGTGAGTTTTGGTATTCTCATTATATTATGCACATACCACCTAGTAATTAGTTCCAAGACATTTCCATCACCCCCCAAAAGGAACAATTATTCCTAACTCCTCCTCTACATGTCAATGTAATGTCCTTGTAACCATAAATCTATCTTTAATCTATGCATTTGCCTTTTCTGGATATTTCATATAAACAGAAACACACAATACATAGTTTTGTGTGTCTAGCTTCTTTAACTTCAGGTTGTAGCACATAATAATCCTTTACTTCTTTTTATTGCCGAGTGATACGTCATTGTATGGATATACTGTGGTTTATTGTTTACTCATACAACAATTGATGGACATTTGAGATTTTTTTCACCTTTAGCTATTATGAATAATGTTGCTATGAGCATTGGTATACAAGTTTCATATTTCTTGGTTATACAGTTAAGAGTGTAATTGCTGCAATATTAAATATATTGATATTGAATATATTGAAATCTTAATTCTGATGTGGAATCATTTGGAGGTGTGGCCTATGGGAGGCAATTAGATAATAAAGATGAAGTCCACATAAATGGTATTATCGCCCTTATAAGAAGAGGCAAGAAAACTAGCTCACTTGAGAAGTCCACACCTGGAAGAGAACCCTTGCCTGAATGCAACTGTGCTGTCACCTTGCTCTTAGATTTACAGCTTCCTAAACTAAGACTTAGGATGGACCGAAGTCAGCCACATGCAGTGAGGGAAGGAAGACTACGGGGAGTGGAAAGAAAATGAGATAAGAGAGCTGTGTCTGTGCTCTCGGAACCCGGAAGGTTAGCACACACAGAGAGAAAGGGGAGCGGCTTGGTGTAGGAAGAGCATTAATAGTAGGCAAAAATCCTGTCGTCCAGTGAGGGCTCTGAGGTTTTATGTCCTATGGCAACAGCACAGCTGTGAAGGGAAGCAAGAGGGTTATTTGACAGAATTTTCTTTTAGCCAGATAAAGGTGATGCATGCCTCTGATCTCAGCACTTGGAAGGTGGTAACAGCCTTCCTTTTGAGCCACCAGCCAGCTCACAAATCATGACACGAAGACTTCTTATTAGTTATGAATGCTCGGCCTTAGCTTAGGCTTGTCCCACTAGCTCTTATAAATTAATCTAACCTGTTTGTCTTCATCTACATTTCACCTTGGGGTTTTTTGTTTTGTTTTGTTTTTTTAGGATCACAAGGAGTTGCATTTTTTAATTGATACTCAATTTCTATATACAATATTGCACAAATTAAAGATGTATCAACAATTCTATTTATGATACAAACTCATCAACAATCATAAAACTACAAGTTGGTGCATTTTGGTGGTAGGTACTTTAGTAACAGCGCAAATATTAAACTCAGCTACTTCATGAAAATCAGCCTCCCACAAAAGAACTCACAGGTTACTTAAGATGTCAAACACAAGTCAAGTCAAGATCACTTTGAAGAGAAACTTGGGATCCAGGTGTGGTAGCACATGTCTCAGAAAGCTGAAGCAGGCGGGTGGTGAAGTCATGACTCAAAAAACTGGTGATAAAATTGCTAAACATTCAGCAATTTCATTTAGGAACCAGAAAGTATATACATATTGGGAACTCTAAGAAGACACCTCCATGTTCTGCTCCATAGGTCCTGTGCCCCAAGAGTAATTCCACTGCTGCAGGATCTCTGTAAGAAACTATTGTTTCAAAGTCCTAAATAAACAAGTTGGCAATTCATACAAAAGGGTTTAACTAAAACTTTTCCATTCAAAAGAAAACTAATGCAATCTCCATAAATTAAGAAAGTCTTATGAAAATGCTGCCCAGGCATGGAAGCCAGGCCAGCACTCACCTCCACTGACTGTCTCATACAGCACTGGTGACAACCTGTGAGGAAGGGAGAGCTGGATACGGTCCTAGCTCTTCTAACCTGTACTCGGATCTAGTCTTCATACACACAGTTAGGTTCTGTGAGCTACTAGCTGGCTGCTTGTCACAAGAGCTTCCAATTGGAAGGTCTAAACAAACCATCTTAAAGCATGCCCTAGGGGATGGACTGAGACCAGGCCTGGCAGCTCCCACCTTCTGACACCATCACTCAGAAGTCTGGAACTGTTGAGTGGGCAAATGAAGCATCCGATAATCATATTTCTAATAAAAATGCAAAAGGCCATGGCAAATGTGGGAGGGAAGTGGGATACCACTATCTGTTACCCACAGTTGTCCTGACTGTGAGATTAGGAGTTGGCAAAAGGTTGAGAAAGGACCCA